TAACAGGAAGAAAACGTCTAAAAGAGCAGGGGAATTGGGAGGGGTAGGGGAAGGGAAAAAAGGGAAAGGAAAAAATATAAGAGGAAAAAAAATGGAAACAAGGTCTTTGCAAATGGGGAAGGGTGGAGGGGGGTGAAGGGAGGGCAAGGGAAGGGGAAAAAAATAAGAACCAAGATATTCATGTAAAGGTACAAGATCCTAATGATGAATGTAACTGTATTTTATACCTAAAATGTACCAATAAAGTTAATGGGGGGGGGGAGAGCAAATCGGAAACTTTCAAGCCACCTGGGACATTACGTGGGAGTGGGAGTCCAGCTGAGCGCCCAGAACCTCCTCCCACCTTAGCCAGTTACTCTCTCCGCCCTAAACACCACACAAGTGCGCCCTGAGACACCTGGAGAAGCTCCGCGTTCCTAGAACGGGGAAAACCGGATGCACTGGGAGACGCAGGTTGGCCTGGGTGGATGACTAGAGTGACGTCAGAGCTAGGCGCTGCCCTGGAGGTGAGGCGGGGGCGAGGCCTGTTGCCAGGCGCCTGGAAGGGGCGGGACACTGTACCAGGTCCACTGGCTGAGGTACAGCAGACAGCTGGGGGCGTAGCCAGGCACAAGGCGTGGCCAGGCAGGCACGTGACGGGGTGGGCGTGGCCAGGCATGTGGCCCTGCCAAGCCAGGCACGTGGTGGGACTTGACCAGTACTCTGCTGGCTGCGCAGGCGCAGTGCCTTGCAGGGAGGATTTTTTTTTTTTTTTTTTTTTTTTTTAACGTGGTGGAACCATGAGGCGGTTGAGCTGGCGGGTAGTGGCCTCCGTGGTCACGGGCCTTGCACTGACCCTGGAGGCGCTGCCCTGGCTCCTGAGCCGGCTACAGGTCAGGCGGCAGCGGCGGCCACGGCGTGATGTGCTATTCTTCCCCTCGCAGGTGACCTGCACAGAGGCTCTGCTTCAGCCCCCGGGCGCGGCACCAGCTGGGCCCAGTGTGGATTGCCTGTGCAGCCTCCCGCACTCTGAGAGCTCCCTGAGCCGCCTGCTGCGAGCCCTACTGGCCGCCCGAGTCAGCCTGGAGCTCTGCCTCTTTGCCTTCTCCAACCCGCAGCTGGGGCGAGCCGTGCGGCTGCTGCACCAGCGCGGGGTGCGTGTGCGCGTCGTCACCGACTGCGACTACATGGCGCTCAACGGCTCACAGATAGGCCTGCTGCGCAAGGCAGGTGAGTGGGCTGCAGATGGCGTGGGTTCCTTCTCCAGTCAGCAAATGCATTCTGTCTTGTGTGCCAGGGTGAAGTCTGTGTGTTGGAGACACAGTAGTGACCCTGGTCAAGTCGCCGTGGGGAAGCCCACTGAGTCATGAATATTCGAGGAACCAAGAAGAATTTGGAAGACTTGGGTATAGAGGTAATGGATGGCCAGGACCGCTGCCCAGAGGCCATGACCTTAACAACCTAGTGAGGCTCTGGAAGGATGAAAGGACAAATGCCCTCAGTCACAGATGAGTATCACAAAGGAATAGTAAGAGGCCTTCTGTGGCTCAAGGTGGGAAGTAGTGATCGTAGTGGACAGGCGGGAGCCCAGCGTCCTGAGGCTGGAGTGACCTACGAAGCCTGAGGGGCAGGAAGTGGGTGGCAGAGGATGGAGCCAGGCCAAGTAGGAGCTGGCCGAGATTGAGGCCCTCCAAGAGGGTCAGAGTTCAGATCTGTTTTGAAGGTAGAACTGACAGGATTTGCTGGTAGATTAGTCTCAGGGTTCAAGGAAAAGTGTTGTTGGATAGAATCTTCAGTGATAAGGAAGTCACTACTTTCCAAGACAGGGCTGGAAAGGATGACATGGGCTGTACAGTTGAATTTGAATTTCACAGGAAGGAGTAATGTGTAGTATGTGACACAAATACTCTCTCCATGGGACATACAGACCTTCCAAAGTTGCTCTTTGTCCATCTCAGTTTAACTTCCATATTCTGTGTTTTTGTTTCATAAAATCTGTTGGTAAATTCTCTTAGGTCCCTCCCTCCCTTTCTTTCCTTCTGTCTTTCTGTACCAGGAATCAAACTCAGGACCTTGCCCTTGGCAGGATGGCACGGTGCCACTGAGCTACATCCCCAGCCCTCTTAGGTCCGTTTCTAATGGTCTCTGCCGTATGTGGGCAGAGGATGCTGGCACCAGGTGGCATCCTGAAGACTGGGTCTCTACCTCTGGGAGTGATGTTTGGGGCGGAAGTGGGCACTGTGGTAGAAGGCAAGAGAGCTCTTCTGCTTCCTTTTCAGAATACCAGAGCCACCGTTGGATGTTTTGGTCGAAGTGAGTAGCCAGGTGTTAACTTCCACCTAAGCCTGTCTGTCCTAAGCTTGTCCCTTCTGACAGAGGAAGGATGGGCATGGAAAATTGAGAGTGGCTCTGCTAGGCATGCCTGGCCTAGAGTGTGCCCTGAAGTACCATCCTGGTTGGTTTAGACCTCAGACCTGGTGTGGGGCTGGCTTGGGTTGGGCTGATGCCTGGGATGAAGTGACTGGTGTCCAGGGTGGTGTTGCCTATGGTCTCTTCTGTACATCCATCAGGACACCTGCTCCTCCTTGGCTGGCTGGCCTTGTGGCATATGCCATCCTGGATGACCCTGAGGCAGCTGGTTGTCCTGCTGACCAGAAACAGCAGCATCAGAACTCCTGAGAATGGGTGGATGCCATGCATGGCAGGCTAGTGAAAATCTGCCTTGGCCCCGCAGGTATTCAGGTGCGGCATGACCAGGACCTGGGCTACATGCACCACAAGTTTGCCATTGTGGACAAGAAAGTGCTCATTACTGGTTCCCTCAATTGGACCACACAGGCCATCCAGAACAACAGAGAGAATGTGCTTATCATGGAGGATGCGGAGTATGTGCGGTTGTTTCTGGAGGAGTTTGAGCGCATCTGGGAAGAGTTCAACCCTACAAAGTACAGTTTCTTCCCGAAGAAGAAGCAAGGCTACTGAAGCTGCCCTTCTTTGCCTTCAGAGACTTAGGAGCACGGCCTCTGGAGAAACCAGCCACCCTCAGAAAAGGCTCCTGGAGACTGCATGCTTCCCCTAGGGGCCCCTGAGCTGTGGAGAGGCCACAGTGCTATAAAGTCCTTCAGCTGGGTTGTGATGGTGCATACCTGTAATCCCAGCTACTTGAAAGGCTAAAGTAGGGGCCTCGAAAGTTTGAGGCCAGCCTGGGCAAATCAGCAAGACTGTCTCAAAAAAGGCAGAGAGTATAGCTGAATGTAGAGTACACCTAGCATGCGTGAGCCACTGGCTTCTATCTCCAGCATGGCAAAAAAAAAAAAAAAATGTAGAAGTGACCTCACTTTTAACACCTGGACGTAGTAGACTCCTTCTTGGCTCATGTAATGGATGGTTAGTTCCCTGATCACATGAGGAGCACATTCAAAGTTAGGCAAGTCCCTTCAGCAGTGGCATCCTTCACAGGTATTTAGGGGAACAGGCATCTTGGATGTATTTGTGAAATGTTTAAAGGTTTGTTTTTTATTTTTTATTTATTTTTTTTGGTACTGGGGATCAAACTCGGGACCTTGCGCTTGCGAGGCAGGCAGCAGAGCCACTGAGCTAAATCCCTGGCCCTTGTTTGTTTTTTATAATGTGCATCCTATATGCCAGTTACTTTTGAAGCTAGTCTTGCTGTTGTGTTAACTGTTCAACGTCTTTCTGAGAAAATGGGAGTATTTCCCCTTCCAGTGTTATCTGTGACTTAGTGTTGACTTGAAGTTGATTTTTAAAAAAAGTTAATGGGAGCTGTTAAAGTATAATATGCCAGAGGTGGTTACATGGTATTCTCTCCCAAGTCTGAATTCCCAATGTGTATTCTGGAAGGAGAATGGAGTGGTTACCACAGTGTAGTGTGACATAGCTGTGGGACCCTAGGGTTCTGGCATATTTGAATAAATATTTTCATTGTGGAGTGTGAATTCTGTGTGTCTTTGCCTTTGTCTGGCGCAAACAGTGGCTGCTCTTTATTAAAACTTTTCTGGTGGGTGTATACCACTATTTAGACACTGATGGTCAAGGTAGGAGCTGCTCAAAAAAGGTTACTTGGGGTCTTGCTGAGTTGCTGTCAAAATTATTACCTCAAGGGGCTGGGGATTTAGCTCAGTGGTTCTGCCACCTTCCTCGAAAGTGCAAGGTCCCAAGTTCGGTCCCCGGTACCAAAAAAAAAAAAAAAGTGCTTTCAAAATATCCCAGCTTCTTTTGGTAATAGTTCTAGACCTATAAAGCAGAAGGACAATCCCTAGCCATTTCCACTTTCCCACCTGCCTGATTTGTGGTGTGTATGCATGTGGAGAGACCCTGGGGCTTCACCCTTTACCCCCTTTTCTCCCAGAGACCAAGCTGGTGTTCAAATAGCAGCTCATGGCCATCAGGAATTGGATGCATAATAAAGTAACCCAGCTGAACTATCTATAGGATATTGGAAGACCTGTGAAATTATTTTATTTCATATATTTTTACTTACTACAGTAATTACTAATTTTTATCATTTTAGTAGCAGAAGGAAGTTGAACCTCACACAACTTTCAGGCACTAACTTTCTGAAAAGAAATTGTGGTAAGGTTAAACATCCCCTGAGGAAACAGAGTATTAAAATCACCCTCAGAAGTGGAAGCTGTTTTCTTTACCTAGAGGTGTTTTTCAGCTGTGGCATAGATGACCACAAGCCTCTGAACAGTGAGAGGACTTTAGGGGCAAGCTGTCCAGACTGGCAGGCATGAGCGTACCATGGAGACCCTAAGGCAAATTTAGGTGCTTTTTCTTCAGCTGAGAGCCCTCATACAGTAACAGTTGTTTGGAGCTCTAATCCAGTGACAGGCAGTCAGGCTGAGGGGTCCACTGGAGCTGCAGATTGGGCTTCTGCTTCAGTGTATCTGAGGCAGGTGATGCAATACTCAGGAAGTGTGTGTGTGTGTGTGTGTGTGTGTGTGTGTGTGTGCCCTGAGCCTTTCTCTGCCTTCAAGATTCTGTTATTTCCCTCTAGGCAAACTTTAAAAGTAGTAAATTCCCCAAGTAGGCTCAATGATCCCTTCATGGAGTCTAGGAGATTTCCCTTGCAACTGTGTCCCTAGCCTCATCAGTGTAGTGGTTAAAGCTGTGATCCATTTTGAGTTAATTTTTGTGTATGATTTGTGGCAGGGTGTCCAATTTCTGTTTTTGCATGTTGATATCTACTTCTCCGAGCACCATTTGTTGAAAAGACAATTCTTTCCCCCATGAATGGTATTTACACCCTTGTTGAAAATCAGAAGGCCCATTTCTAGACTGTCAGTTCTGTGTCTTTTTTTTTTGGTACCAGGGATTGAACTCGGGTCCTTGCGCTTGTGAGGCAGGCAGCGGAACCACTGAGCTAAATCCCCGGCTCTGTGTCTATCTTGATGCCAGTATCATACTGTTTTGATTAATGAGGCTTTGTACTAACTATTGAAACTTGATAGCATGAATCTTTTTTCCAACAATGAATGGTATTTTCTGGGTCCCTTGTGCTTCCATATAAAGATCAGCTGATCAATTTCTAAAAGAAAAAAAGCTAGGATTGTGATAGGGATTGTGCTGAGTCTTTAGATCTAGTTGGAGAGCATTGCCATCTTAAGCCTTCCAATCCATGAACACACGAGGTGTCTTCCCATTTATTTAAATCTTTAGGCCAGGTGTGGTAACATATGTCTGTAATCCTAGCACTTGGGTGGCTGAAACAGGAGGATCACAAGTTTGAGGCTAGCCTGGGCTACATAGTTCAGCCTGAACTACATATAGCGAGATCGTCTCAAACAAAACAAAAAAACCTTGTTTTTCAATGTTTGTAGTATTCAAGTCTTACTTTAAAAATTTTTTTGATGTTGCTATAAATGGAATTGCTCAATTTCAACTTCACATTGTTCATGATTAGTGTGTAGAAATAACAGATTTGACTTTCATTAGCATATGCTTGTGATACAGATAATTACATTCATTTTGGGGAACTGGTATATATATATATCTAATCTCACATCTTAATTATTTTTATTGTCCCTTTCCCCTCTGTGTCCTTCTGTCTCCCACAACTGACTTCTGGATACTATATTGTGTTCTGCAAACTTGCTGAACTTATTTGAACAGAAGTTTCAATGGATTCCTTAGAATTCCTCATATACAGTATTTTATTTGTAAGTAGTTTCCTTTTCAGACTAGATGTCTTTTAATATTCTTTTGCCTAATTGCTCTGGCTGTTCAATGTTTTGTTTTTTGATACCAGGGAAGGAACTCAGGACCTTGTGCTTGTGAGGCAGGTGGTGGCACCACTGAGCTAAATCCCTGGCCCTGTTCAATGTTGAATAGAAGGGGTGAGAACCAACATCCTTATCTTGTCCTAATTTTTAGAGGAGGCTTTCCTTCTTTCATGGTGACATTGAGCAGGGGCTCTCACAAATAGCTCTTAGCATATTGAGGAAGTTCAGTTTTATTTTTGGTTGTGTTTTTTGAAACTGGGGATCAAACTCAGAACCTCGCGCTTTCGAGGCAGGCAGTGGAACCACTGAGCTAAATCCCTGGCTGGTTGTTGAGTTTTCTAAAAAAACAGTTTGCAAGTGCCAGCTAACTTTAAACTGCATTTAGGTAGCTTTTAAAAAATACTATCTGGCCACTCAGGAGGCAGAGGGAAGTTGATGACAAGTTTGAGCCCAGCCTATGCAACACGCTTTCACCCAGTCTGAAAATTAAAAGGGCTGGCTGGGGATGTAGTTTAGTGCTCCCTGGGTTCAGTCCTCAGAAACACAACATACACGTGACACCCCTACACAACACTGTTTTTAAGCCAGTCCAAAAACTTTGTTGTGTACCTTTGACTACAACAATTTTTTTAATGGGTAAAGAAATTATTGAAAAATCTCTATAAACAACTAGAATAACACACTAAAACTATTTATCTTTTTATATCTGTATTTTGTTTTGCTAAGTTTTATTAACTACTTAAATTGATTTCCAGTTGGTAGAAAGTTTTCTATATTTTTTGAATAAAATTTGGATCCTCACAAACATTTTCACACATTTTATTGTAAAGACTTGTGACAACACTGAAAAGAATTGTTTTAAATTTATTCAACCAAAAACTTTTAAAAAATAAAACTGAACAGAAACATCAGAGTATATCATTGTAAGGGAGCAATATTTTGTTAAATTTTGGGTGGTAGTTGTGTGTTTTGGATCACGACATAGGATGCACTTCTTTTTTAAAAAGGCAAAATTTTATTGCAAATAAATCCATGTGGGGCAGCATAGTTGTTATATAGTACCTTAATGAAGGCATAGCATATGTATTTTTATGTTCTTTTAGCTCTCGAAGATTTCTGTAACTAAGGAAATGTACCTCAATTAGATTTCTGGATGTGTAAAATATTTCTTACTATGACTTGTGTATGAACGTGTAAAATCTGGATTTTTATGGGAAGTCTCCCAATTTTCAAATGCTTAAAATTAGTCCAAAACTTTGAAAAACAACCAAAAGAACCAGCTCACTTTTGACTGCCAGGCTAATTTGATTTGTGATCTAAACACATTCTGCACATACCTCTCCATGAATCAACACTTTGTTACACAGCATGTGAAGGAGGATGCAAAAATAGTTTATTGTGATGTATTTCATGTAAAGTTAGGTAATATTTACAAAATAAAAATAGTCAGCTACATCCATGGGCATCTAGCATGTCACACGAATAAATATTTTGACAAAGTAACACTTCAATTATAATGAATACTTGATCACAAACTCTGTAAGAAAAAAAGTGCCTTAGTCTGAAGCGTAAAGTCGAATTGTGTGTGCGTGGGGATGAGGTGCTTAGTTCAGAGAGCTGTGTCTGGTGGAAGGTGACTGCTCTAGCCTCTCAGATCTAAGACCTGAGCTGACCCTGGGGAAGCAGTGCACATGATCATTAGGCCTCAGGTTTCTACTGCACATAGTTTTGAGTCTGGTGAGCATGATCATTTAGCATTAAAACAATTAAACATCAGTTAAAATGACATTCGCTTGTTCTTTAAACATTTATCATGTGAATACTGAAATGATTAGCTACGGTGGAAGTGGTTCTCTAGATTCTTTTCAGACTTGTTGTAGGAGACAAAAATCACCTATACACCTTACTTTGTTCATGGACCAGCTCCCCAAGCAGTTTGGCAGTGTTTTGTCTTTGACAGCTAAATTGAGAGAGTCACCCTATTAGAAGGAGGGTGTATTTGTGAGAAAGATTACTGAGAATTCTAATTGTTGAGCCACTTGGATACTTTACATTTCATAAATATTACCTTAGGAAAACCACATGAGTTAATTATCACCTAACTGGTTTTGAATCCTAACATTAAATCAGTAGATCTGTCATTAATACTAAAGGTATATCCTAAAATCCTTTTAAATCCATTTTATTTGAAGTTTTGTAATAAACATAACACAATAGTGAATTTAGTGTTCTTTATAATCTTAGCTAAAATAAAACTAAATATGTGATAACTAACTTCTAAAGGGGCAAAGAGCCAAGGGCATGTTGACCATGGCAGGGTGCAGGGGCTGTCTGTATCTAATGACAGCTACATTTCCCCACACTTCATTTCTTTATGGTGAATCTGAGCTGCATGCTTCACCACAGAACCTGCCACCTCAGCTCACTGCCACAACCATAGGACACAATAGTGTCCTCCAGGTCATCCTAAAGTACTGGATTGTCCAATCCTTAACTCTTCTGTGACTAAATGTTTCCTCACCAATTTCACAGAAACAGATATTGCTAAGATGCATTCAAAGCTTGGCGATTTCTATGGAGTTACGCAATACAACCAGACAGCTCTGAACACAGCCCTGAATTCCGAGGAGTCCCAAAAGCTGTAGAAACCAAGGATTTGGACAGCAGACTGACTTCAACCACACCTCCCCACAACAAAAGGCTTGGAATTATTGTGCAGAATGGACTGATCAAGACATAGCTACTGCCTTCATTTTCCTGCTTTTCCTTGAGGACTCTGAGTGGCTCCACTGAGATGGGGTTATAGAATACTTTCAATGCAAAGCTATGGATGTGGGACTATTATTGTTTTAGATACTATACATTCTTTAAAACCATCTGTTATATGCCCAAGGCTTTTAAAAAGATACATTAGTCATTAAAAACATGTACTTATGGGCCGGGGATTTAGCTCAGTGGGTTCGCCGCCTGCTGTGCAAGCGCAAGGACCTGAGTTCGATCCCCAGTACCAAACAAAACAAAACATGTACTTATGATGCTGAGTAGAATTCACTGTGTACCCAAAGGTGTCTTCCCCTGTATGTTTTAAAAAACCCACAAAACTTCATAAAAGTACAGTCAATTGTCAGTAATATTTACACTGCTTGTTCTGAGTAATATACAGGGAATTTTGAAGAAATTAAAGACAGCAGCCACACTGTTCTGAGCACCTGAGGACCCGACACTCTGTGTGCTCAGATGGCCAGCAGCTTGTCCTGTCTCTGGGCCACTGGTTTGTTATTGACTCCCCTGCTCTGGTCAGAAGGAACTGAGAAGGCAGTCACTCCCTTTGCAGAGAAACACACCTGAGACTCCTAGAAGATGCAAAGGGTGGGTGGTATCTTTTGTGGCAGGCCAAGGAGAGGTGTGGATACACTTCCTGTGTTGGCTTGTCCCCTCTTCCTGCTGAAGAGCTTGCAGCCAGCAGTGTTACTGTGCCTCCCTTCCAGCTGGCTCTTCCTGTGTTCAACTGTGTCAAGTATTGGACACATGGTCCCTGTTGGATGCTCAGTGGCGCAGGAACAGGGACACTGAACACTCTGTACCCCCTCCCTACCATTAGGCTGCATGGGGCCTGGGGTTGCTCATGTAGCTCTGGTATTTAGGAACCTAGGGATAGTTGGAAGCCAGGGAAAGCCTGCTTCCTGGTGTGGCAGATACACTGTTGGGACCCTGTACACTCCAATGTAGGTGGCCCTGGTCCAGCGCCTGACAGATGCAGTAGGCCATGTGGTACCCAGCTACCTCCCTCAGAGCCAGGCACTAGTGATGAAAAAGACCTTGTTTAATTCCCAGCACACATCCATGTAGATAAGAGTGAGTGTCCTCTGTGTGGAGAAGTGAACAGGAGTACAGACATTCCTTAACAGCTTTCAAGACACCAATTTTGCTTCCTGGTCCTCTCAGGATTCCTTCTGGGCATGCGCTGAGATTTACAACTGCATTTTTTAAAAAACTGAACTTCCCTTTCCTCCTGAATCTGGCCTGCAGGAACTGTTGATCAGTGAGTGGGCCATTGGACCCAAGGCAACTGTATGAGCAGATTCTTACTCTGTCTGCTGCTTCTCGTCCAATGTGTGGTGCCCTTCTGCCTTTAAGCTTGCTGAATCTGAGAGTATCTACTCTGACTTATTACTTGCTTGATAAACCTACATGTTCCTGAATATCTACTCTGACTTTGTTTTGGTACCAGGGATTGAACTCAGGACCTTGTGCTTGTGAGGCAGGCAAGAGAACCACTGAGCTAAATCCCCAGCCCTCTACTCTGACTTTAGCACTTGCTTGATAAATCTACGTGTTCCCAACTCACTCCTCGGCCTCCCAGGATGTACAGTCATCTAAGCACAGGCCTCTTCCAGACTCCCCACAGCCAGCTTTGGGCTGTAGCCTGTCTGAGACACATGTATATCTGGGCTGCACCTGGTACCCTCCACAGTGCCCATTGCCACCTGCTCAATACTGGGTATCACACATGCTAACAACCTAACCAGCAGAAAATGGCTCTACTGTGTGCATGCATGGGTGTGCAGACAATGCCATTTGCACAGATATTCATACTAAAAGTTGTCAAAGGGTTCCCCCATTAAGCCTGGCTTGCTTGCAAGTACTGGCAGATTATACAATGAATATCTATAGGAAAAGAAGCAAAACTGTGTAGTATATCCATTTTAACATTTTCCTATGAAGTGGGGAAAGCTTGCCATTGATTGTTTGCACTGGGTGTGGCCTAAGACTCCCAGTAACCAGTACAGCCCTATGCACAGACCCTGCCACCTGCAGCTGCCTCACAAAGGACCTTAATCTACCAGTGCACAAACCTGCTCCTCTTCCTGTTTTATTCCTCTTTGTGGATTACATGTGCCTGCACCTGTAGCAGTATGGCCACCAGGCAGCTTCTGCTCCTGGAATACATCTGGTAGCACAAGAAGAATGTCTTTATTCTCTTTCTTGTCTGTTTCACTCCAGTTGGAGAACAGTACCCAACAGCAGAAGCTCAGACTCATCCCAATCCAAACAGTGGCTACCCCACTGACACTGCTCAGAACTGCCTGAGTTCTGAGGTGCAGGTGACACTAAGAAGCTGCATTGTAGCAGCCCCTTGTTAACAGAGGAGCCAGACCATACCCAAAATCTGCCGGCTCCATGTTCACAGTGTTTTCCAGATGACAATACACACCAAACCAGCCGTCAGGCAGGAAGTCCTACTGTCTCATGGCAATATGGGGCCTTCACCAAGAAGTCATAGTGATGAGAGCTCAGGTGTCCACTCATCTATCTCTGGTCCCTCCAGTCTTTCCCTTTCACCTCCAAGTGCTGTACCCACATTTATTGCCTAGGAGTTCTGAGGTCCAGCCTCAAGGGACAGAAAAGTGAGAAAGAAAACAAATAAAGTGCTCTTTTGCCCTGTAGGCCAGCCTGCTTTTATTCAAATCACTGTGCAGTCTGAAGGCAGATAGAGCCCATCTCCTGCAGCACCTGGGAGGGGAAGCAGGGCCAGAGGGTCTCTAGGGCATCAAAGATGGTCAGAAAGAAACCATGCTAGAGCAGGGAATGCAGTGATTCTCAGAGAACAAGGTGAAATCATAGCATCTGGAGACCAGGCATAGCAGGTCCCATCAGTGTTTCAGTGCACAGCTGCCTGCATGTTCCCACTGAGCACAACACAGAAAGGTCATGGCTATTTCTCAAAATGCTGCCAATCGGCATGGGGGGGATGTGTCTGAAAAGCATATTTTTAAAACATTTAACTTGTTCTTGCTGCTGAAAACATGGAACATTAAGTAGCACAAAGCAATAGTGTGGGTGAGGACTCAAAAGCTTATGACAAGGGGCAGCTCAGAGCCTGTGCAGGACCAAGAACATCCCAGGAAGGGCAAGCTAGGCAAGCTGCAAACCAGCCACTCCGGTGCTTTCGTCCTTTATCCACTAGGGTGGGTAAGACCTGATGACTTTGCCCATTACTCTAAAAACTGAGCAAGGGGGTTTCTACCTTTTTATTCCCAAAGCATCCACGTACCCAAAGACCATCCAACCAACTCATGAATTAGCACAAAGTAGAAACTTTGCAAGTGGAGCCAGTGGACATGGAGGTGGAGTCCTCCAGGTATGCACCTCTGACTCTCCCACCTCACTCCTCCATAACAGGAACTCCTTTACTATGCCAATGGTTTTTACAGGACTAGAATAGTCCCAATGCAAGAGACTTTCAGAAAGTACTGCAGAACATTCTAGGGCAGTGCAAAAAGAAGTTTTAGATTGTTAGAAAAGCAAACTTCTTTGCACAGGTTCACTTCAACTAGACTCTGCTGGAGGTACTTGCTGCACAGGAATTTTCCAGAGCTCAGATTGATCACAGTCCTAAGCATGTACTGCTGGCTGTTCTCCCCAGGTTTCAACATCCTCTGGACTTCCTCTTGACTTAACACAGGGGTCTGCTCTCAGCGTTTTCAAAGCAACATGACAGTTTCTTTTCAGATTTTTTTAAACAAGCACCATTTGCCCTTTTGGGGGACTACCTCAGGGAATCCATCCCTTTTTGGCAATCAGTCTGAAACCCTGGGGAGTAGGTCACCAATCCCAGCAGTGAGAACAGGATTATGCTGCTGTAGAAAAGGGAAGCACGAGCGGAGGAAGGAATGAGAAGGGGTCTGGGGTTTTGTGCAAGATTTAATAAAAAACAAACAAAAATAGGAATGGTTGCTTTCCACATTTTCCAGGTTGTGAAAGTTAGACAGGATTATCTGCGGTGTGGTTCTAAACTGCATTAGTGGAGCAAATACAAAATGTTGTCCTCCTCCCAGGCCAGAAGGCAGTGTGCACAGGCTGTACACCCGTCTGGGTTGCTGCCTCCTCCAGCAACCAGGCAGGCAAATCACCTGCACCATGGTACAGGTCAAACCAGGACATCAAGGTGGCTCTTCTCTGACCAACAGGGATTGTGCCCACCTGGTGGTGCTTAGCTGTGAGCAGCAGAGCTGGAGTGCAGGCCAGACCTCCACACTGCACTCTGACACAGGACTAGCTTATTGACAGGCTGCTGAGCCTTAATACTGACAGTGGATGCAGTGGACATTGAGAAGGGCTCTACTCAGATGTGGGCAGGTGCTGTATCACCACACTGCTGGAGCTTGACCAATCTCAGAATATCATGGAAAGAAAGTGGTGATAAACACAAGAGGAAGTTGGAATGGTGCGGACAATCCATACACCAGTCTCTCATGTATCCATACCCACAGTTAATGACAATAACAACAACAATGATAAAAATAAAGGTACAGACAAAAAGCCGCGCTCAGGTTGTGCTGCCACCAGCCAGGAGGGGTGTGTTGAGTGGCATGGGATACAGCTAGTCTTTCTTCAAGTCCCTGGATTCAAAGAGCTTCAGCCGTTCCTGCACTGTCAGGCCTTCCTTCAGACTCTGGGCCAGAGGAAAGAAGAAAGGTTAGATCCAGGCAGGGCAGACTTGGGCTTCCATCACAGTGGGTAGAGGCAGAGGTAGGGTGAGGAGGGTGGGCTCCGAAGATTAGTGGACATGCTAGGACAAGAAACACTGTGAAATGGTGTTATTGGAATATGATTCTCCCTGAAGCAACTTACTTGGATGAAAAAGGGAAAAAAATTAGAGAAATAAGATCACATGTTTTAAGTAGCTCAATTCTAGACTCAGGGCTCTTTAGACAAGTGGTGATTAGACTGACCCAGCCAGGACAAAAAAGTCCTAAGAACTAGATGCCTGCCCAGCTGTCTCTCTTCCTGCATATGATTTGTGAATAGCTGGTTCCTTTGAGCTTACGAACCCAAACAACAACTTCAGGATGAAGTTCCCTAGTGCTATGAGCACCCCTTTGACATTCCCTGAGTGGACTGCTAGATGGTGGGAATTAGGAACGTGCTGGTATAGGACCAATACCCTGCTCAAATCCCAAGATGATGAACATTCTACTAACTGGGGACAGGATACTTCACACTGCCCAAAGACTTCATGTCTGGAAAAGAAGCACTGCTTTCAGAGACAGCCAGAAATACATGGATTCTGGCCATCTCATGGTCACCCCTAGTTCCTCAGCTTCCACTTTTCCCTCTGCAGTGGGTGTCAGCACTGGGCTGGCCCGGAGACTCTGTGGGGCTCATTTACACCAGAGCTGACAGGCACAGGTTTTACTAACATACAGGACACCTCAAGGGTGGCCTCTGGCTCTGCATCCACACGACTATATCAATTTTAGCCACAATTCTATGCAACGTTAAGTGGCCACTGGGCCCCACACACTGGGATCTGCAAAGTCCAGCTGCCTGCTGGGCAGCTTAAGCCTGGTGCTTCCCAAGGTCTGGGGATGGCTCCAACAAGTACTGAGTATCTGTTGTGTATATGGGAGCCGTGTGTGTGTGTGCATGTGTGTGTGAGCGCGAGTAAGTGAGTAAACACCCAGACTGGCCTCAAGGTGTCTTCAGGGTCACTCTGCCTGAGCCTAGGTATCCAGCAGCAGCCAGGCTCCTATAAAGTGCTAGGCAGACATCTAGTCACCACCCAGATAGGTGGCCTGAACTAAGTGCCCCTGTAGGACAGCTGGTGGGTTCTTAGCATGGCCATGCCTGCTCCATTCCAGCCAGGAACTTCCCTCCAGGCCTTTAGTGACCCAGATGTTGCTGAGACCTGTGTGAACAGTGGGTATCTGGGGTTCTGGGACTGACCCTGTGCGTATCACAAAGGAGTCCCCATGTGACAGACCCAAGCTACAGCAGGTCCTGCATGGCCCACAGGGTCCCTTGCCTTCCATTCTGCAGAACTGGGCTGAGGGGGCTCAGGTGGAACCATGCTTACCTAGACAGAAGAGCAGACGGCAAGCAAGGCCCCTGCATTCCCCTTCCCCCTGGGAAGGGCTGTCTCTCCCTCTAAAGCCTCTGGCTACTCTCCTGGTTGTAGCTCAGCCTGAAGACAGGACCACCGAGGGACTGCTCCTTATGGGGCCTGAGTGCAGTCAGCTGCCTCTGGAGCTTGTACCTTTCCCTAGCCACAGACCACAGTCATGGAGCTCCCATAAGATTCCCAAGGGGACAATACTCTGCTTCTGATCCCTGAAAAGGTTGTGCTGCTGAGAAAGCAACTAGCCTGCTGTGATTTATGGGTTTGGGGACTGTCTCTCCTTTTGTATCAAGCAGGAAATAGAAACAACAGACATAAACAACACTAATCAGTACATAGCAGAGGACATTATCAACAAGCACCAATGAGAGTTTCAGTTTCTGGCCAACTTCATTCATGTCTTCTCAAGGGGTTGGAGGGAGGCTCCAAATGCCCTCAGAGAAACATGGTGACATACGCTGCTAAGGGTCAGCTCCAGCTGCGCCCCCTCCAGTACTGTGGTGTCCCCAAGGATGCCTGTGAAGTCCCCATCTTTTTATTGGGGCCCACAGGACTGCTCTGCACATTGAGGGTTTTCTTTTTTATACCAAGACCTGGTCACACCAGATAACTGAGAAAACACTTGGATGAAGACCCCAGATCCTGGGTCTCACTCCTCTGCTGGCTCTCTGAGTCTCCTCATGTCCTACCTTTGCGGTAGCAATTTCCTAGCTAGTGCACAGGCTCCCACCCACTGGGCTGCCACACCAATGCCATACCACGAAGGTCCCTGCTGTTGAGCCGTTTGTTTTCATGTCCCACAGGAACTCACATAAACTGGACACCCTTGCAGTACTGCCTCTTCAAGGTTCTGCAGAAGCTCTGCCTCCCTCCCTGACTGTCATCTCTAGGCTTAGCATTGCCACGTTGATCCAAAGGCCCAACTCAGTGAACTCCAAATGCACTTAGGAAAGCCCTGAAGATAGCAGCTAGAGTTCAGCTTTAGCAAATGAGATCTTCAATATGAATACCATGAGCCAAAAAAGAGCAAGTTTCCTTTTGCTAAACAAAACATTTTTCATGTTTAAGGAAAAAAAAATCCCAAACTGTTTTCTATCCAGCCTAAATCAAATTTGAATATAAGTGGTTTGGGATGAGGGTAAATAGGCAAAACCAAACTAACTAGGTAAAAACCTTTGGATTTTCTTAGTACTCTACCTAAAGCAAATACCTCAGGCTAACATCTCTGGACCACCAGGATGCTCTAGAAGGTGGGTGTGTTTGTATACAGAAGCCTTGCTGTGGCCAGCATCCCTGACCTATTCCTCCTCTTCACCAACAGGAGCAGTCAAAGCTGCTGCACCAGCGACCACACATGCTCAAGGGATTAAGTAGCCCCTTGTTTATAAGCAAGCAGCTACGTCCCCTCTTTTGGCCAGGACAGTAACTTCCTATGGGACTGTGAGACTGGATTGTGTTGTTTTTTAAGAAGTGCTGGCAGATACTGAGTGGAGTGACCAGACACAGACCACAATGTGTTGACCAGTTCTTCGGGTGACTGACCCAGAGCCCTGAAAGACAGTGAGTCTGAGAAGGGCTATGAGGAACCCAGAGCAGCAGGTACCTGCTCCATCTGCAGGAAGGCTCCTGGGTGGCTTGGCTTGCTAACTAGTGGGTGAGGTCTTTGGTGAGGTCAGACTTTGCTGGCCCACAGCAGCAGGTTTCTGTCACATCTACCTCTTTACAGAGGACAAGACAGATTTGTTTCTCAGAGAGGGTGGCGTGAACTAATCACCATGCACAGATTACCCAGCATGCATGACACCCTGCCTGCACAGAGCTGGCTCTAAGGGCTGTCCCGCCAAGCTGGGAGAGTGCCCTGGACAAGGGTCAGCTCAAGAGGTTAGTCTGCCAGTCAACTCTCAGGACAGATTATAGAAACTTACAGGGATTTCTATGTGCTTGTGGGAGCAGGATGAATTAAAATAAAGTAATAACATAGGCGTGTGCTATGGAGGTGTGAACAGTACATGCAGAGAGCCACCCCGCATATGCGGGTAGGTGGGCGGTGGTAAGAGTCAGTTTACCTACACGACAGGGGACCGGGAAGCGGGTGCGAGTCAGTTATCCCATGAGACCTGCTCAATTACGGACTGTCAGAGGAAAGAGCAAAAATAAAACACATACACAATCAATCCTAAATGCAACATGCTGGCCACACCCCCTCCACCCATCCTGCCTGTGGAGATGCACACCAGATCTGGGGAGGCATGGGAGCTGGCTACTGTGCGGCTGGGAAGCGAGCAGGTGGCTTGGTCTCTGGAAGGCAGGTGGTGTCCGTACTACAACAGGGATATGTGAGGACAATACAGACAGACTGACACAGATGGGCAGGGAGAGACTGGCCTCAGAGGTAAAGGACCCAACAGCTCTCACAATCCCGCAGGGTGATTGCATAGGTGGGCTGGGGGCAGAACCTAGGGACTCTGCCACTTTGTGTGGTAGGATTAACCTTGGGCTTGATTCTCATCACTCCCTCCATTGTCCTGGAGACTCACCCATCAGGGGCCAGACCCAACCTACCTTGGACCTAATATTTCTGAGTTGCCGGGTGACACAGGATCTGTCTTTCTTCAGAAAGTCAGGGTTGCTTTTAGATTTCATTATGTCTGAAGGAACAAAAAGATCCTTTCTGTTTGCTTTATAAAACTCTCTGGTACAAGACAATGTTAAAGCTTCTGAATGTCCCACTGCAGCACCTCATGATATCTTTTTCAATGGCTCTAAGGGAACTCAAAGCTAATAATCAAAACACTGCAAAGCACCAGAGCTTTGGGAACGTGTGTGTGGTCCCCAACAGAGCTTCAACTGTGTGACTGTGCTTGCTCTCTCAGCAGGGTACTACATCTCTTGCTCCTGTGGTGGACTACAGCAGCTGAGCAGACCAAGTGGCCCCATTATCCACTCATTCCCAGCTACTTCCTGATGACTGAGGACTGTCATAAAACAAGGTGAGATCAAACCCTCTCCTACCTCCACCTCCTTACCCCTAGGCATCTTTTAGACTCCCCTGAAAGTCTGCCTCAACACCAATGAGTAGACACACACAAGTCCCATGCATGTGGGGTTTGGTTGAGCTTTGAGGTGCTAGTGATGAACCCAAAGTCTTGCACATGCAAGACATGTACTCTACCACTGAGCTACCATCTGAAGCATACTTTTTTTTGTTTTTCATTCAACATATTTATGGATTTTTTCCATGTCAAAACAAAAATATCTATCTGGCCTCTCTGAAGCACTACTGACCATCCAGTGTGTGGCTGTGCTGCAGCTACAGTCCTCAGCTTGTGTCCTATGGTGGAATGCTGCTTTCAACTCTTGTATACAAATGCTCAATAACCTGTTTGCTCCTTTCTACGCAACTGTATTTTCCAAAGTCATCTGATAGGTCAAAAGCATAATTCTAGGTTTTCCTTTCCCTGTACTCTGGATGCCTTGGGTTCTTCCTCAAAAGCAACCACTGTTACCACTTTGTTACCTCTTCAGAGTTGATCTGTAGAGTGATTTTAAATTTTGCTGCATACTGCCTGATGTTTTCCAGAAAAAGTGCTAATTTGTATTACCATCAGCAATCCACAAGACTTTTCCTCCAATTATGTGTCAATACTGCTACTGCCACTACTCCTTGGCTAGCTGACGGAGGAAATTAAGTATTTTGACTATTAGGGTGCCTAAACAGCTTTTCACACACCTGTGTGTCTTTTTAAAAAGTCAACATGTGCTGAGTGTGGTGGTGCGTGCCCGTCTATAATCCCAGCTACTTGGAAGGCTGAGGAAGGTGCACTGCAAATTTGAGGCCAGCCTGGGCAACTGAGCAAGATTCTGTCTCAAAATTTAAAGGGAGGGGGTAGGCAAGGTATAGCTTAGTGGTGGAGTGCTTGCCTAGCAGGTCTGAGTCCCTGGGTTCCATCTCCAGCATGGAAAAAAAGGTCAACATGAAAGTCAGATGGAGTCATGGATTTGTCTGAAAGGGCCTAACAAGATAGCTCCTCAGCCTCCCTGCGATCTTTCATGAGTGCTTGATTGTTTTTAGCCAATAACAAAAAAAGTCAGTCCCACTATTTACTGAAGAAGGTGGAAGCTTCCTCCCCCTGCCCCACCTTGAGCCAGAACAGATTTTATGGTAAAACCCTGAGATCAAGTTTCTAACAAGAATTTTTCCCTACCTGTTGGTATTTTTAGGAAAATAGAAAAACAGAGCCTGGTATATTATGCACATGTATGTAGGTAGAGCAGCTTCTCCTCAGAGCTGTGGCCAGGAGTGGGTACAAGGACTGACAAGCATTTGACTCCTTGGTTCTGAGTCAAATATCAAAAAACTCCATAAATGTCACCCAAAGTACTCACCATATCCTGCCACAGCAGTGCTCTCAGGGGACTTTTCCCCCAGTGCTTCTGTAGCTGCTTTCAGCTGCTCTCTCAACCTGCTGATATCACAGTCTGCCTTGGCCTTCGCGATGCTGAGCTCCGTATAAATGTCTTTGTACTTGTCACTAGCATACTTTTTATCCTAGAAACAAAGGGACAGAACCAAACAGTAGAAACAAACAGGGGAGGAGGCTTGTCCATCCTTAGAACTATAGAACTGGCTGTGGCTTGGGGCAGGGCCCTGGCACCACACAGGGCAAGAATATATAGGCCTGCATCTCCCAGAGGCAGCAACTGGACACAAAAGAAAACATGACCTGTGGACATGAGAATGGCAGATTCTCTGACTGTATGTGGTAGTAGAATTCTGGAACCAGAACAAGCGGGAATACAGGGCCAGCTGCCTATGTGACCTTGATTCCCTAGTGCCCTTCCTTGTGGGCTTCAGCTAGGATAACCCCCATTACTTTGGTTTTTCTGTTGTTGTCATATAGGTAGGTTTTCAAGCTAGGAATATACTTTTTTTTTTTTTTTGGTACCGGGGATTGAACTCGGGTCCTTGCGCTTGCGCAGCATGCAGCGAAACCACTGAGCTAAATCCCTGGCCCCTACTTTGGTTTTTCTAAGTGACTAGATGGCCACCAAGGATTCTATCAACTCCTTTTATCATTCCAGGAGCCACCTGGAGGAGATAGGTTAGACCTGCTCTGAACGGCAAGTCAAGTCTTCCCTCGTACCCAAGACACTCCTCTGGGTGTCATCATTCCCACCAACCAACACAGGAAACACATGTAGTGAGGACCATATGGCCAGCCTATGGGCCACCCATTTCCACAGCAGCTGGTTTATAGAGTGGTATCTTAAGAGAACTTGACTTTGAGGTTGCCGTCCTCATGAAAGTGGGATCTATTCTAGAGCAGCCAGCATGAAGCTACAAGGCCCACAGCCTACCCAAGGGGTAACTCTTACCCGAAGTGCTGTCTGGAGCTCGTCCTTGAGAGAGCTGATCTCCTGTTTCAGATACTGTATTTCTGACTCCTTGACCCGCAATAAGACCTACAATGGGACAGAAATTAGGGAGCTGAGGAACCTCCAGCATCTCAGGAACACAGACTGAAGCAATCAGAGGGCCTCCACCCCCCTATTACAGCAGGGAGCAAGAGCTGTCGCCACCCTCGAAAGAACCAACTGGAAATATGATTTCAATAATGCTCTACACTTCCACATTACAGGCAGAAACAGAAAGAAAGAGGAAAAAACTGGTACCATGCTTCCTAATCCTGAGAACCCCTGCATCAGTCTGGGGGCCGTCAAGAGCTGCTGCTGGCACCCTGTTGATCTCCTGAGATGGTACCATCAAGGTTTAGGAAATGCTACACAAACTTTGGTCAAATTGGCTCAGCTTTTTCATGTCTACCTTGTCAGTAAAGTGCTCATTAGTGAGTCATTTTTAAGATTAAACTGTAATCTAATGGGGAGAAATCTATATGCCTTTCAAAAAGGTCAGGTTATACACCAGAATCACCTTATACATGAATTTGCTCTGTTCCTGAGAAGCAGAATGTAATAAACCTCAAGCAGCTGCAGAATTCACATAGCTAAGCAATGGGTCACTTTATAGATTCAGTTTAGGGTGTGCTAGAAATGGGGCTGGGGCTGGCAGGCAGGTGGAGTGAGGGATGAGGTTAAGATCCCCATGGCCTCTTGAGGGGCTCCCTGCACCTGCCTGTGGACCTCAGGCTGCCTGGCAGCTGTTTTCTTACCATCTTGGGTGATTTTGGGATTTCTCCAAGCCTTTTTTATTCTTTGTGGTGCTAGAGATGGAACCCAGAATCTTGAACATGCTAGGTACACACTTTTCCACTCAGCTACACCTCCAGCCTCCATCTTCAAGTCATGTCCCTTCATTGTTACTGTAAGCTAAGGGCCCGTCCTGTGGGACTCCTGTGTGGCAGAGTTGAGGAGGGCTAGCCTGGCTTGTGGCATTACCTCTAGCTCGTAGGCATCTTTGCCCTGTGTGAGGGGTGACCCAGCAGCCTCCCCATCGCCGTCCCTGGTCAGTAGTGTCCGTAACCGTGTGATCTCTGCAGCTAGGCGGTTATTCAGTTCCTGGGAGACAGCAACAAAATATATGACACTCCAAAATATGTGTCTCAGAATCAAATAGTACAACACAACTTGGAAAGATTATTTCCCACTAACATTATGCAATACTCAAGCACAGGGCCTGTGAGCAGTGTGCCTCTCACTGCTGTGTCTGAGGCTGGTACTACAGGACCCCTTGAAATTCACGGACAGTCCAGTGCCTTATACAAAGTGGTATAGCACTGGCACATAACCTGCACATATCCTTCCATTTACTTTAAGTCATCTCTAGATTGCTTGTAGTACTCAAAATAATGTCAGTGCCATGAGTAGTACTGTACTGTATTATTTAGGGAATAATGACATAGGAAAAAAGGTGTGTAATATTCAGTGTAGATGAAATTACTTCTGTAAGTATTTTCCACTTGAGTTGGTTTAAACTGCAGATGCAGAACCTGTGGACACAGGGCTGTCAGCATCTGCAGAGCGACGTGAGGATGCCACAACTCCTATGTTCTTCTGTTATGACAAATAGCATGTGCTTGCTACAGTTTGTCCCATTTGAGTTTCTATAGGACTTGGCCACACTGCCTCCTACCCCCCACCCCCAGCCCCCTTCCTGGACCTTCCCTCCAGCTGATAAGCAGTCATCTTCAAGCCACTCCAGTGGTTAGATGGACCTGGTCCTGCCTGAGCAATCTCATACCCAGACTTGAGGCAACACAGAGGGCTCACACCAAACTCATGTCACTAACTCAAACCCTCCTGGCTAGCCAGGATTTAAATGCACCTCAACTTCCTGAGCAGCAGATTCTAAAAGAGATCCTGACTCTCAGGGGTGAGCGCCCAGGCCCTGTAAGCAATGAGTCAGAGAGTCACAGAACCATTAGACTTTTGTCTTAGAAAAGGCTGAAGCAATAATGACCTCAGGTTCCAACAGTTGGATATGCACAAGGCAGCCTCTGTGGCCACCTGTAGTTAAGTTTCTGACAACACGCCAAGAGCTGCCAGACACTCCATGGCTCAGAGGCCTCAGGGTACTTGAGGGTGAGGCTTGGCCCCAGCTCAGCCTCACCTGGCCAACTGTGGATTCACCTGCCCTTGGGCTCACCTGGTTGTGGGCGTTGAGCTCCTGGTTCTCGCGCTGGCACTGCCGCAGGGCCTGCCGCTCAGCCTCCAGTGCCTGGGCCAGGTGAGCATTCTCCAGGCACTTCTGTGAGTACTGCTCTGAGAGGACCTCCAGCTCCCGCTGCACCGACTGCAGCTCCTCCCTGGGGAGAGGGGAGCTCTCAGCCCTCTGCCCCTACTTCAGGACTCAGGAACAAGTGGACATGCCAACCACGCATCAGAGTGCTGGCCTATATGTTTGCAGCCCACTGAACATGAGGGTCCTTTCTGGTCTCCCCCACAGCTCAGAGAGCAGGAATCCTATAGCAAACACTTCTCTGATGATGCCACTTGGGACAGAATTTAGTCATAGTGAGAACAGACACTCAGATTCAGAGAAGCCAAGCTCTCTTGACTTGGGAGCTATAAGTAGGCCTACTTTTTATGTCATCTGAAAGCCCAGAGTCTATGCAAGACACAGAAAACCAGCCCCCAAGATGCTGTCCTTGGCCACCCTGGATCCAGAGGGCCAACACCCCAGTGGTAGAACCTAGGATGAGGGGCCTCTGTATGAGCTGTAGGATCCAGAACACATCAGCCCATCCCAGCCAGGTGACCGCAGTCACTCCATGGGACATCATCTGAGCTGCCATGGCATTGGGCCAATTGTCCTGAATGCTCCTGGGGCAGGGATCTGGCTCCCCAGGCTAGCTTGGGAGGTCCCACAGTGGCAATCCTCCTCAGGGCAAACCAACAGGTGCCACTCTGGTACAAGCCCTTCACCCTCCTGCCTATGCAGAGGGAGTTGGCACAGGCTGGGGTTTTAGAACACAGTAATTGTGGTCACTTCTGTCCTAGACAGGCACGGGGTACTGGGCACTGAGCACCAGACAGATGCTCCACTTTACCCAAGAAACTGACACAGGATCCATGAATAAAGAATCAACTGGGGTGGGGCTGGGGATTTAGCTCAGTGGCTTTGCAGCCTGCTGCGCAAGTGCAAGGACCCAAGTTCGATCCCCGGTACCAAAACAAACAAACAAACAAACAAACAAACAAAAAGAATCAACTGGGGTGATCTCCACTATCAGCCCCGGGGCAGTGAAAATTTAAAATTTTCATTTGTGGCACTCTTCTCTGCACTTTAGAGATCTGTCTTTAACACAAGAAGCCCTAGGCAGGGCAGCTTCACCACTGAAGAGGAAAGGATCTAGGCTGCACTCAGGACCATGGCCTCCTCTGGGACCAGCCCTGAGGCTCATAGAGACAGTGGGGTGAGGGAACTCACAGGTACTGCCGCCTCAGGGCTTCAATGTCTGAGTTGATACTGCTGATTTGAGACCGCTGGCTCTTCTCCAGCTCACGCTCCATCTCCTCCCGGTGGGCATTCTTCATGGCTTCAATGGCTATGGGCAGGACGTGGCCCTCAGTACCAAGAGAATAGGGCTGTATAGCTGATGGGGCCCTCCCCACCATGACATTCCCTCTCTGTGAGGCCACAGTAGAGAGGAAGGCTCAATATCTTTCCACTGCTGATGCTGAATCCATCTGCAGTGGGACCCTAACAGACTAGCCTCACACAAACCTCTCTTGAGGTGGACATGGAACTCCCAACCCACGTACCCCCACAGGGAATGAAGGTATATTATTTTTAGTGTTAGAAAGAACTGATTAGATAAATGTCAGTGTTAAATTCAAGCATGAGTTTATAAAATAAGTAGCTTTTCTTGACACTAAAATGAGAGCCACCCTAAAGTGATTAGCTACATAAAGGAAAGACAGCACCACATTGGATGTGCTTGCTCAGGGGTCCAGGAGAAAGTGTGTCACTGTGGGGGAGCTGCAGCACCTCCATGCTCTGCCTGGAGGTGTCCCATGCTGACAATGTCAGAAGGCTGATGAGGTGGGGACAGGCCCTTCTGGGAGTTGGCAAACCAGTGTCATCAAATCCCATGCACTGGCTCTCATGCTGGAGGATCTCAAAAGCTTCTCAAACCAGCCCTTTTCTCATCAGTGCCAAACTATTCTCTTGAAAATGAAGCTTAAATCTCAGCCAAAAGGCAGTAAAAAGATAATCACTGAGTTGTAGGATCAGCCTGGGGAGTGGACCACTTGCCACCCTCAGGTCCAGCCCCACCTGAGATAGTGGCAGCAGTCTCCTCAGCCAGGAGGCGGTCCTTTTCCTCCCGAAGCTTCTCTAGCTCCCTCTGGTGCTGCCTCTGAAGGTCTTCAATCTTCTTCTGATGCGTCTCCTCCATTGCAGCAAAGCCTCGCTCACATGTGGCCTGCAGAGGCAAAACAGGCACACTGGGTTTCTCTTTGGGCCTCTGAGCTGGGGATCCTGTGTAAAGAAATCAGCAGGAACTCTGCCTGTCCAGACTCAGTAGTAACCTGCACTTACCGCACCTGTCTGGAACTAGGCCTGAGTGGAGAGCAGGCCCCGAAGGCTATGTGGAGGCTCATGGTACTATATTAAGCACTTGCAGAGTGTTTTACCACAAACTTTTCTGTGGCTGATCTGAACCCTAATTCTTCACAGGAAAGGCTAGTATTAATGGATGTGAAGAGGGTGCAGTGGAATTTAAACTAGGCAGTCCTGGGCCTGTGTGGTGTCACCAGCAAGAAGGAGGGGAACAGAACACTTATGCTGGCAGTGTCTGGTTTGAAGTGATGTGAGATGTACTTGGTGCTGTCACAAACAAGGATGATAGATCTGTCAGGTACAGGGAGCCAAGGTCATTGTGAGATGTGGGGTAACCTAGCTGGGAGGGCTGTACCCATCCTCTATGGGTTGGGGACACATACAGCCCATTTCTGGGAGCATGGAGTCTGTCTCTGCTACTAGTCAGCTGGCAGCTTTATGGTGGCCACTGACCTCTCAGGTGTCCACCAAGGGAGTAACAGGCGAGGATCTCTTCCTGCTGCCCTTCGTCTCCTTATTTCCTGTCTTTGGTGAGAATATGGAGGAGCACTGATCAACGAGGACCTCCATTACCTTTAATAAGGTATCTAACAGAGGGACCTCATTATAACCTGGCAAGACACCTATGTGCCCATAAAGAATCAAATAATCTCACATAGCTACACAGGAAACCCAGGCCTGGCCTGTTAGAACTTCTATCACCACCAAGCAGGAGACTGCCTCATAGCTACAGCTTTGAGTGGCAGGAACATGCAGCTACTCTGAGCATAGAGGCATACTTTCTGTCTAAACCCCTGGTAAGATCCACTTCAGGGCAGGGGATCAAGGCTGATTTTTAAAAGCTGGGAGAATATCCCAGTTATTATATTCAAGTACAAGTATGCAGGGCTTCCCCCTGGCAGCTCTGATCCTATGCTACCTGTCCAATCTTTCTGCCTGTGGATTTAAGAAATGATACCAAGAATCAAATAACCATGTTTTCTATCTTTCTGAGTCCTACAACCCTTAAAGCGCCTTCCTGAACCTTCTGTCAGTATTTTCTAACTTCTAGCTATAGGCTGGACCTCACTGTAACTTACTTACTGAATTAGCAAAGGCCTTAATTACTGTTCCTCACTAACAGGGAATATTGCCCCATTGCTCAACCCTAGAAGATGCCTTTCTCCTGGGCCCTACCCTCTCCCTGTCTTCACACTGCAGTAGGGCTCCGGACACTTCAGGTCTCAGCCCAGGTCTGCAGACAGTGTGCCAGGGCTGAGACCTCAGGCCCCACTGCTGAGCATATTCCCCGATTGGTCCATACATGGCTTCTCAGTCAACACACTTAACTATAGGCTGAATACTCCTTATCTAAATACTTGGATCAGAAGTTTTCCTAAGTCTGGATTTAGATTTTAGATTGTGACATCTATTTTAGGGATGGGATCCAAGTCTAAACATGAAATCATTCATAAATGTTTCATATATGCCCTATACGCACAGCCTGAATTTATACAGTAATTCAGAGTTCTTGCATTCTATGACCCTGTCACATGAAGACAGGTAATTTTCCACTTATAGCATCATGTTGAAATTTCAATTTCAGATTCTGGAACATCTTGGACTTTTGAGATTTCCAGATTAAGGATGCTCACTCTAACTCCCACCCTCCGTTTTGTGGTACTTGGGACAGAACCCCGGGCCTTGTGTATAGTAGGCACATGCTCTACCACTGAGCAACATACCCAGACTTCATATAAATATTATTTTGATTTGAGGACTTGGGAATATATGAAGATAAGGATCAAAATTCTAACAGAAACAGTGAAATATCTTTAAAAATCCAGTTGCTTCCTTGCTAAATGTATATATAAAAATTAATCTGAAACAAATCATAATTTTTAGGTCAATCATCCCTGGGATCAAAAAAATTCAATGAATTTGATGCAGAGTTGTGGCTGGTAATGCTAATACACTAGCCTTTGGGTAATGACTGTGATACAGAACTGTGGCGGCTAGTGGGGATTCTGGCCTGTGAGTGTCAAAGGAGGAGCTATCAAGCCAGACTTTCAATCTCCCTGACCAAGACAGAAGTCTGCATAAAGTAATTGACACCATCCAGGTTCTCCAGAGGCTGTGTGGTTATAAATTCTGCATGCATCCAGGGACCGATAAGAATGACACATAGGGGCTGAAGCTCTCAGGCACAGGATGGAGGATACCATACAGTGGGGCTTGAGCAGCACAGAGTGGATGATGTCCAAGTCCCTGATGTCCCTTCCAACCCGTGTCTCCTGCATCTGAGCATCCCTGGGTCTGGCACAATTGTTCTGATGTCTTGTGATCTGCTGGTATATCACCAAGACTGATCCATTCACAGTGAAGTGACTCACTCAGGGATGGAACAGGCTCTCCATGGAGGAAGCTCTTATAGATGCAAAGAGAAAACAGGTGCCTATAACTGTGGCCTGGGGTCTGTATACAGGAGCATGCAGCAAAGGGCACTAGGAAGTAAGTGGATGTGGGGTCAAAGCCAAAGTCTGTGGCATTTATTTTTTTCTCCCCAGTACTGGGGATCAAACTCAGGACCTTGTACTTGCAAGGCAGGTGCAGTATGACTGAGCTAAATCGTCAGCTCTTGTGCCATTTACTTTTAAATGTGTACCCAGACCCATCAGAAGCTGTGCTTAATGAACTGACCACAGGGTCACCAAACATGCATTTTGGGGAAACAGCCACTGAAACTTTCTCACAATTTACAATGTTTTTTAAGAGGTCCGTATTGAATGGAAAAAGAATAGTAAGAAATAGCCTCTTAGCTGCCTGAGAAGGTGCTTACTGCCAACACCCATTTGTCTCTGGGTAGGGTTGAATCATCACAGAAGCAAAGCACCAATTGTGGAGCAAGTAGATCTTCCTTTCTTATGCAGCCCTAGAGGGTAAGGTGCTGAGAAACAGCCATAGGCGTCCTGCTGAGCAGCACTGTGATGGTGTGTGGCAAGATAGCAGGTATCAGTGCAGCCGAACTTGACATGTACCACATGTCCTACCAGAAGGGAAGGAAAATGAAGGGATAGCCACTAGGGCAAGCTTTTGAGTCTAAGGGATGGTGAGACCCTCCAAGATGATCCAGCCACATGCATGATGCGGTGTGAAGTCATAAGGAAGGTGGCCAGAGAGTTGGACTGCTCTTCTTATTTCATCTTGAGTGGGCTGGGATGCTACCTCTGTTGGCCAGGGCGTATGAGGCAGAATGGGAAATGGATGGAAACAGGGGAACAGTTCCTGGGGAAAGGCCACCTTTCACAGCTCCTGGAGAAGGGAACAGGAGCTGTTGGAAGCCATCTCTGGAGAAAAGTCCTTCTTAAACCAGTGCCCACTCAAGTTGGGTCCTTACAGGGAGATGGGAAAGGAAAGGGGCCTTTGACACAAAATTCAACTCTGCTCTTCTAGGTTGCTTAGAAGGGGATTGCCCTCCCAGAGTGTGAGATGGTTCTGGGAAAATGCCTCAGGTTGGGGGCAAGAAGAATGGGAAAAGGCAGGGCAGAGGCTACTCTAAGGGTACAGAGAGGAGGGGAAGAGGTACTCTCCTCTCCCACAGGGATACTGCCTTCCTTCGCTGGGCCTCCTGAATGGGTGAGAATGAGACCACACCACAGCCAACAAGCAGAGGAGTTGCAGAATGTCAGTAGCTAAGAGCCAAGAACCAGCTCCCAGCTACACTATGAGCCTTAGATGCGCCCACAGCCTGCCTTCCCCCACTCCTTCATATCAAGGAGAATTGCCTTTACAAAGTAAATGGTGCCAAGGACCTTGAGGTTCTCAAAGTCCCGCTGGTACTTCTCCCGCAGTGTGGCCGAGTCACCCTCCAGCTCCTTATGGCCTAGCTCCTCCCGCATGACGTCCATTTGGGCTTCCAGCTCTTGGATGCGCTCCCGAAGCACTGTCATGGAGTCAGCCTCCCCAACAGCAGCCTTTGCGGCAACCTGATATGGAGCAGCTCCAGACTCAGGCTGCCAGTGGAGGCAGGTGGTGGGCAGGGCCTTAGGGTGCTGCTGCTGGCATAGGCTGAGGGTCTCCTGCAGGTGTTGAAGGCTCTGTGAGTAGTGCTCCTGCAGAGCCCTCAGCTCTTCCTCATGGATGGCCTGTAGCTCTTTGATCTTAAGCTGGAACCTGTCCTCCAGTGTTTGAATCTGCTGCACGTGCTGTCGCTCCATGTCCTGCTTATCTCTGACTGAAGCATCCAGTTGGCTCAGGACTCGGCTGCGCTCAGCCTGCAGTGTGTTCTCTGTGCGGTTCAGCTGCTCCACCACACACCTGATCTCTTCCTCGTACCTGCCCTGTAAAGCAAACATGCTCTCACTGTGCTTGCTTTCCACTTCTTCCAGATGCCTCTGCTGATGGTCCAACTGGTTCATCTTGGCTTTAAGTTCAGCATTTTCCCTTTCAATGAGGGAAATCACCTCCAGGTACTCATTCTTCTGCTTGTGGAGCAATTCTTTGTATTCTTCCTGCAGTACTCCAATTGCTCTTGCCTGCTCCTGACAGGAGGTCCCCCTAGCCTGCCAAGACTCCTTATAAAACTGGAGCTCCTTTTCATACTCTAATCGAATTCTACAGGCTGCATAGCACACTTGAGCCTGAATAATTGCATCTTGAACCAATAACGAAGAATACTGACCAAGGCCTCCCAAGCAAGCACTGTACGAGAGATTTTGGGACTTCTGCAGAAGCTTTTGGCAATCCCTCAATGACTCTGCAGGTGGCAGAGCTGGCAAGGCAGCAGAGATCTCCTCTAGGATGTTGGCCTTCTCTCTCAGCTGCTGGGCAAGCTCTTCTTGAATAGCAACAAGGGCCCTGGGGCTCTGGTGAGAGACATGCAAGGGCTCCTCGGAGCCATCTGATGTGCCTGGACTCAGCATTTTTTCCAAAGGACTCAGGTTCCAGGATATGTGCATATTGTCCTCACCACCTGCTGGATGCCTGAGGGCTTCTGAAACCTGCTGTATCACTCTCTCAAAGTCTGGGGTTTGGTAGGCACCTAGGATTTCCCTCAGTGCACATTTGTGCTGCTGTAAGGCTGCCTGAGTTCCCTGCAGAGTCTCTTGGACAGTCTGCAGCCTATGATGCAGTGACTCCCTCACTGATTGTGTGGCAAAGCTGAGCTCTGCCCGGACCCATGTGGTGTCAGCTAGGCTTTGGGGTACATGCTGCTGTTCGCCTCCTGATGTGCTGGCTGTCTCTCCTCCCAGTGTCTCCAGACGGTTGCTCAGGGACTCGACCTGGATCCAGAATTCACTGTCCACCAGCACCTTCCTGGCCCAGGCTTCTGCTGAAGCCCTAGGAGAGACAGTGGCACCTTCTCCCTCCAGCAACCATTCTCCTGACTGAGCAATCTCATGGAGAACACGAGACACATCTGAGGTTGTGTTCTTAAGAGAGTCTGCTATTTGGTTGATCAGAGAGGCCTCCAGAGCTATCTGATCAGAGAGCAACTTCACTTGCTCTTCCTCACTCAGTGAAGGCTGGCAGGGCTGTTGTGGAGGGGCTGCCACCCTGCCCTCCACAGCTTGGGCTGGGCTGTCTGCAGGGACTGGGCAGGGCTGCAAGGCCTGGATGGCGCTCATGAGTGCACTCTCCACACTGGCCAGGGAGGCTGCACGAGTGTCTTGCTCATCCTGACTAGACCTTGGCAGAGACCTTAGCTGTTCTCGGCAGTTTTCTAAGCACGACAGGGCCTGGCTGTTTTTTGCCTGAAAGCCCCCTAGCTCCCCAACATGGTTCCCGATGTTTGTGGCCCTTTCCTGTCTCTCCTGTTCCAGCTGGGAAGCCAGGGAGCCAGCCTGCAGTAAGCTGGCACGGAGTTGCTCTCGCAGCTGTGCCTCAGTGCCAGCCCACTGGTGGTGTAGTGCAAGTAGTGCCTCTCGGCTCTGGCCCTGCTGACTTTCTAACCTCAGGGTCACATCCTTGAGCTTTTCCTCTGTGACATAGAGCTTGGTCTCCAACGAATGGATGATGGAAAGGTATGTCTCTGAGTCTCCAGCTGTGGGCAGCATGCTGGGGGCAGCCTCTGAGGACATGCTCTCCTCTGAGGGCGACCGGTCCTGGCTGGTATCTGAGGACGTGCTGCTGGTCCAGGTCTTCTCAGACCCCTCGGGGTGGATATACCTTTGGCACTGGATTGTAGAGAATCGGATTCTTTGCCTTTTAACACCAGGTGTTCCCTGGTCAGGCTTGACTGTGCTCTGCAGATGTCCCTCTCTGTCCATCACTTCCATGGTCTTTGGGGGCACTGTGCCCTCTTCTCTACTGGGACTGTTGTCACATTCTTCCCCTAGGCCAGCTCCTATATCCTCATCGTCCAGCTGTGCATGTGGTAAGCCTAGAGTTGCCCCAGCAGCTGGTAGCTGCTGGCTCAAGAGCAAAACACCGTCCTCCTCAGTTTCCTCTAGGGTACTCTGTGATTCTTCCAAATCCTTTGCAGACTCATTTGCATATTTCCTCAAAATCTCTTCCTTTGCCTGCAGTTTATTTTCTGTCTCCTCTAAGCTGCTCCCTAATGCAATCATTTTAACCAAAGCCTCATTGAGGTCTTGATCTTTCTTTTCCAGAACTCTCTCATGTACTTCCTTGATGTGCTTTAGCTCTTCTTCCTTCTCTCTCAGAAGAGTACGCATGCTCTGCAGCTGGCCAGAGACCCTGCGGTGTGAGTGCTCTAAGCTCTGGTAGTCAGCCTCTCTTCCCCTCAGCTTTTCCTGAAGCTCAGCCACGTCCCCATCAGAAGCGGCCACATGTTCCATCAGCTCTTGGAACCGCTGCTTGATGAGGTCTCGCTCATCACGGAGGCTCTGCACGTGCTTGGCAAGCTGACAGATACTGGCTTCCCGGGCTTCCAGTTGCTCCTCCAGCTGGTGTACTTGCTCACTGCCTTCACACTTGGCACTCAACTTCTCCTTCTGGAGGGCCTCCACTTGCTGTGCATGGCCCTGTAGCTGGTCCTCATAGGCAATGGCTTTGTCCTCCACTTCCTTCAGGTTTTGCAGCAGTGCCTGCTTTTCCTCCTCACAGCTCTCTAGTAGCAGTGCATAGTTCCTCTGCAGCTTCTCCTCCATCAGGCGCTGGGCCTGCTCACTGGCACCCAGTTGCTGGCTGAGATCAGCAATGCGCTCCTGGAGCTTCTGGACCTCCTTCTGCCGGTCTCGCTGCAGCGCCTGCTGTGTCTCCAAGTCTCGAAGCTCCTGCGTCTTCTCCAGCAGCAAGGCCTCAGCACTCTTAAGCTTTTGCTCGCTGGCCCTCAGCTGACTGCTAAGGGCAGCCTCGCTGTGCTGCTGCTCCTCCAGCTGTTCACGAACCCTGTCCTGTTCCAGCTTCAGCTCGGTCCTGAGCTTGGCGAGTACCTGCTCCTTGATGGCCAGGTCAGCAGCAGCATTGCTGAGCCTTGCCTGAAGGCTCCGGATCTCAGCCTCATGGTGCCGGATTGCATCCTTGGCCTCCCCATAGCTACGTTTCAGAGTCTGAATCTGCTGTGTGATCAGCTCCTGCCGTTGGCACTGGGCTTCCAGCTCACTTTGGAGGTCTTGATTGACTTTATGGAGCCTCTGCCAGGCACCCGACGGGGAGGAGGCCACTTCAGTCTTAAAAAAATTGATTAAATACTGGTTAGTAACACTCGGGCCTCCCCGTTCTGAGTGTCACACCTCTGGCCAGGATCGACTATAGAAAAGCTCCGTGGTGAGTCTGGCTTTTATCCTTTGTACAACTTTTTTTCCCCATTAAAAAAAAAATTCCAACAAATTATTTTAATTTTTTTGTTTTTGTTAAGTGGCTGCTTCCAGGTAAACAGAAAACACGGACAATAACATCAAACAACAGTTCTAATCAAACAGTTCTAAGAGAAATAAACCAAACAAAACTGAATAATGGAATACACAGAGAAGTAAAACGGAGACTGAAGGAACAAGAGGATGTTGGGAAGCAGGACAGGGTAGCACAGTGCCTGCAACTGTTTATTTTGCAAAACAAAAAGTAAACAGTTCTAGACCAAAGATCCTAAATAAGCGCAGGATGCAAGGTGTAGGTAAGTGATGCCACTTCCTTCCAAAAGAAAGAGAAGGAAGGAAGGTAACTGCTTAGGATATATCAGTAAGGAAACATCTACAACATTTTCCTTTGGAAAGTGTAACCAGGCCTCCACAGTAACAGGAAGAACTAATCTCTACCTGTAAGAAGACAAAACAAGGGGGAACAAAAACCATGGAGTGAAAAATGATAATCAACAAAACAAACTTTTGTGGAGTGAAGCATGCAAAAACCCCAAAACAAATGAAAGAAAACTCCCCAAACTGAAAGGCATGCAGAACAGAGCTAATGTAATGCAAAGGAAACAGCATGAATGAACACAAATGAAGAGAGTCCCGCCTAGATTCTGGCCTGCCCAGCTCCCTCTTGGTCTACTGGTGGGGAAGCCACAGATGTGACACTCAGTTGAAGTTCCAGTTAAATCCAAGCTCAATGTCCAAACCATCCAATCTCCTCCCAGCAGTTAGTGCAGTGCTCCCGTGGTCAACCTTGTGACCCTCGGACCCCAGGCCTTGCCCCTTCTGACTTCTAGATCTGAAGATTTGTTAGACTCAGCAGGAAGTTATGAAGAACAGCCTGGCTGGTCTGATCAACAGGTCTTTGATGAAGGCTGCATCAATGGCCCACATTAGCAGAGGTAGGCTCCCAGGTTAGCAATGTGCAAAGCCATAGGCAGTGTCTTTATTGGCTGATGTGAGGTCAGTTCTTGTAGGATAGGGTTCAACCAACACTTAAAAAAGATCCTCCCAAACCAGAAGGGCCTGTACAGATGACCTAAAGGCTCCCAGAATGAGATATTAAGGAAGTGGATACCCTTCAAGGCTTGATTCCAGGTCCAAGGGTCTGAACATGACAATGTGTTTGCTGGAAGGGACTGAGAAGGAAGATGGAGGCATGTGGGGGGAAAGAGAGAAGGCCAAGGGCACATGCAGAAGAGACAGTGGGGAGAAAGGCAGGCAGGCAGGCTCTAGTCAGAGGGCAGCTGAGCACCACCAGGCCACCTGCTACCCAGGACACCTCAGTACACAATGGTCTAGAAATAGATAGTCAACTCACCACTGAGACTAGGTATCTGAGAGCCAAAGGGCTCTTGGGGATCAATAGGCTTAAGTGTACACAGGCAGGGGGCTGTCAATGCAAGGGTAAGGTAAATCTGCTTCTGTGGTCAGTGGCAGGGTCAGGACTCAAACCCAGGACTCTTATGCCAATGTCCCATTTTCATCCTTGGTAAAGCTTAGGTTCCATATTCTGGCATCCTGCTCCACTGTTCCCTTAGTGCTTAGTGGTCAATCTTGCCAGCACAGTCATTCCACTAGGGCAGAAGCATGTCTGTGTTGTGTCCCGGAGCTAGCATGGGACTTGGAATGCTCCAAGACATTGACACGTACTTCTTGCTTTCCTTGTTCATGGCCACCTCCTGCCTTGTGACACACCCACATCAGGGCTGCCACATGCTGGAGATCTGATTGTGATCAGGACAGATTGTGGGTACTTCCAGCAGAGGGATTCTGGGCTGGGGCTGTCAGGTCAGGACCCAGGCTGCACCTTACTCATCTCCCCTCCAAGTTGGGCTGGCTGTGGGCTGGATGGCCACATCCTCCTGAAACATCAGCCTGGGCAGAAAGTAAGAAGTGGAGGCTCCTAGGCCAGTGGTGACAGGCAGATCCACCTGCAGGTGTGGATGAGACATGGGCTCAGGCAGGGTCTACTTCTAGCTCTGCCACTAACCTGTTGCTGTCCATAAGGAGGCATCTGGCTCACTGTGTGATACAGTTCCTCCAATTTATACAATGGGCCTAATCTTGCTGTTATGAACACAATGAGAAATAAATGCAGATGGATGGCATTCCTAAGAAACATATACCAGCTACGTTTAAAGACTACAGGAGAGATCACTACAATGATTTCATTACAAAACCACCCCCAAAATCCTTAGATGTAGGGGTTTCAGGCACATTCCTCAAAACATTAGAATAGAAGAAAAAAACACAGAGCCTCCAGCACACTAACTGCCTGTGTCCTTGGGGTAGAGGAGCTGAGGCCAAGCTCTGCCAGGTTTGCACATTCTTAGCCTGAGGGCCGTGCCTGCACCCTTCCTGCTGAAGCCCCAGGTGCACATGTCCCTTGGCAGCTGCCCCATCCTACCTGTAGCACATAGCCCTCCCGGGCACTTTGCTCACGGCCCAGTGCCACCCTCAGCTGGTCCTGCAAGAGCCGGTTCTGTTCCAGAAGGTCTGAGGCTTCCCTCTGGCTCTGCTCCAGCTGTTGGTAAAAAGACATGTTCTTAAGAAACACAACAACAGAGAGAAGCAGCTGCATAGCATGGGCCCCAGAGGCATTCCTGACTGTAGCACATATGGTACCTTTGCTGAACCAGAACTTTTGGCTCTCCACATTTCAGATGTACAGAGGTGATCTATACCTGAAGCACAGGAACTGGTTTCCAGCTCAAGCTGTAAATGACACTGGTACACCTGCCTGTCTCTGAGGGATGAGGGATAGTCTAGTCTTTCCCCTTAAGGTAGCCCTGGGCACCCACAAACTTCTACACCTGCTCACGTTGAGGGGCCTATACAAGTCCCCAAGGCCCATGAGGGAAGTTCATTTCTGAAAGTAAGGGCTTTCTATCTTTGCAGAAGACCACTTTGTGGGGGTCTGCTGGGGGGTTCTCTGCATGGTTACAAGCCATGCTAATCTCCACAGGGCCTACTGTGGGCAATGGGGGACCCCAAGTGGGCCTCAGTCCAGGCCCTGCTGTGGCTTCAACTGAAACTATTCGATCAGGTATGCATGATGGATTTGGATCCCACAAAGAGCTCTGTCTGCAAAAATGGTTCCTGTAGGCCTCTCAAACAAGATGTGGAAATCTGTAAGTCATTTCACACTCATCTTGCTTTTAACAGCTTTAAGATTTACTCATCCATCTACCTTTTCCTCACATTGTTCCTAGGTCCTGCCTGATGGTCAGCTGTGTGCAGGGCTGTGCAGCCCTTCTCCCTCAGGGGCTGGTGGTCAGGGAGCTGGGGTACAGTTGAGTAGTCAGGGCACTACCACGTTGGGCTGTGAGAAGCAGGGAGATCCTTGACTGTGAAACATTAAACACTGCTCCCAGAGATTGCTGTCCAAAACACAAACTGATGATTTTGAGTGTGTCTTCAGGCTGTTGGGCCCATTTTGATAGCTTGCAACCATGTGAAATTAATTGTTTTACTCCATTGTCTTTATTATTTTATTAATAGTATTGGAAAAGTCAAAGTGTTGATACTAGTGATAACTATCAGACATAAATTTAATATAAAATAGGGAAAAAGAGGTGAAGCATGAGATAAGCTGAACAGGCATGCCATGTAGATTTTTTAATCTACTGCCTAGGTACACAAAGGATGTATTCAAAGCTTTCTGTTTAAGGGCATCCCTGAGGAGAAGGTGTGACAAGGTATTTTACAACAAGCGGAGCACTACACAGGCTGAGTACCCCCAAAATGCTTGAGGCCAGAGTGTTTTAGATTTCAAATTTTTTATAAATTTGGGTTACCTGAATAGATAGGATACACTATGTGTGTTTGTGTGTATATGTGGGCACATGCATATGCGTATTTTGCAGTACTAGGGGCAGAACCTAGGGCCTTGTGCATGGTATGCATACACTCTACCACAGAGCTGCATCTCCAACCTCCTATACAGTATTTCTAATAATCTTGTTCATTAAATGAAGTTTCACGGTGTGAAATTTTCTACTTGTAATGTCAAGCTGGCACTTAAGAATTGATATTGGGACACAATTTCCTAAGAACCTCACATGCTGTGAATGCAGGGCCTGGCTACCTAACTCTTCCCCAGCATTTACCCAGCCTCCTTCTAACCACTTGCCCTATAGAAGCTCACCAGTCCTATTTTATATCCTAAGCATCTGGGGTCCACCCTTTGACTCCCAATGCTATCCCCTTCCCCATCTGGTCTAAGTAAATGTCCCCAGGCCACTGTCAAAGCACCAGAATTCACCTCTGCCTCCAGCTTTGGCCTGTATCCCCCAGAGCTATCTTGTGCAGACAGAAACCTAATTCTGCACACACCCCTCCACTTAAAATCTAGCTCATGCTCTGTAGCAGGTAGAATAAGGCCCACTATCTAGGCCCTATAAAGCCCAGCAGACTAGTGTCTGGCCACAGGTCTACATGCACTATGAAGTGTTCTACCAGTCTAGTAAGGCTCATTACCCCCTCCCTGTTGATGTGGCACTTCGTTCTACCTCAGCCTCAACTTTGACTATAAGGACCTGTCTGTGTCCCAGAGGGGAGGACTACATGGCTGAGCTTGCAGGCCATAGCTAGCACAGCTGCTCAGGACAGGCTGATGCAGAGGAAGCTGCCCTGGCATTACCTCCTTCTCCAGCAGAGAGGTCAGTTCATGTGTAGAGAGCCGGTCACTTCCATCCTCAGAGGATAGGTGCAAGGGGGCAATGGGCACCTGCTTTTCCTCTCGGAGAGGGGTGGTCTCCACCTGATGCCACCTCTGCTCAATTTCCACATGGACATTTTGTGTCTTAAGGTCCGTGGCAATTGGCAGCCCTGGGCTCCGGTCCACCTCCATGCGGAGGGCTGCATCCTCGATGCTTGTTCCATCCACAGCATCCACCATCCCAAAGCGCTTGCGGCGTTCTTCCCGCCTCCGTGCACGTTCCCGCTCTAGCTCACCCGGCTCCATCTCGGGGTACCCAGGCTCACGAGCATCAGGGTGCCCCATGTTATTGGCCCTCTCCTGAGCCAGGGCCTGTTGGATAGGGCGGAACTCAGCCCAGTCAAAGGTCTTGGAGCGGCCCTCTCGCCTTCGCTCCCTAGCGCGGCTCCTCTTCTGCTCTGGATCCAGCTCCCCTGGCTCTGCCTCTTGCTTTTCATTTGGCCTTGGGCAAGTCTCAAAAGTTGAGCTGCTCTTGTTCTTTTCCTCAGGCAATGAACTATGGGACAAACACAGGACCAGCAAAGGTGAGCTGTGAGTTAACCCATGCCTGATCCATACCTTTCTACCCCTGTGTGGCTTTCTGAGTGCAGGGGAAGGAATGCAACCATAACCAGCTGTCCATTCCCCAAAGGACCCAAAGCTGGACTGGACCTGGGGATAGGGCTGAGAAGGCTCATTTCTTCCAAGGTTTCCAGTATACATTCCTTAATTGAGGGTATGCCATGAGGGAAGTGTCCTGTAGTCCCATCACCAGGATGACAGAGATAGGTAAGAGGTGCCCAGCCACTGTATAAACACTTGGTAAGGAAACCCTGTACTGGGTGGTGACAGAATGAACAAGAACCAGCCAATTCCCTAGAAGGGCTCAGAGGTTTCAATAAACAGGTGACACGTTAACATGATTTATTTTTATTATTTATTTATTTATTTTATTTAGAGACGGGGTCTTGCTATGTAGTTTAGGCTGGACTTGAACTCATTGTAGCCCAAGATGGCCTTGAACACAAAGTAATCTTCTTGCCTCAGCCTCTTGAATGCTGACACCCAGCCTCAGCTGTTCTAAAAGCCCACTCTGGCTGCTGGTATGACAGGCAGGTCATAGTGGAGGGCTAAGAGTACCTGCAGGGGAAGGGATGGTGGGCTGGGTGTCTTGGGGGAAAAAGCAGTGTTGTAACCTGTCACACTGAGAAGGGAGGTGCTCAGCAACACAGGCTGCGCAGGTCATGCTCACTGGTACTCTGGCCTTCCCAGTAGTGGCAGGGATGAAGCTGGTCAGTTTGAGGAGTCCCTGTCTTTCCCCAATGTACCCCAAAGGTTTGGCTTCTGGGGAGGTCTCTCACTTGAGGGTGGAGGACATCACCAATGGCAACTTGGCCAGAGGCTGGAAATGGGCTTTCCGCACAGATTCCCAGGCCCAGCAGGAGACCCAGTGACTGTAGGCTGGCCCAAGGCCCTGGTCTCAACCAAGCCTTAGAAGAGAGTTAGAGGTGATTTGGGGCAGCAAGGCTCAAGAGGAAGTGACAGGGAGCACCTGTGTTTATATTATGGGTAAAGAGAAAGGAGCTAGAGAAAGGGGCACCCAATGAAAAGAGGAAGTGGCTCCCATCACTCTCAGGAGATCACCTGTCCTAGCAGTAAAGAGCAAGAACCAAAGTTTTTTAGAATGGAAAAATTGGCAAGAGTTCAATTTAAGACCACCCAAACATGTGAATAAAAACAACCCAGAGGGGATCTTTCAGCATCACTAAGACACCTAGCTGGCTTTTGCTCAGCATGTAAGGTGTCAGAATGATATATAAGAGCAGGTAGGGTGACAGGAACACTTCCAGAAGAGGAGGCTCCTCTAGCCCCAAAGGCCAGCAGTGCCCTAGGTGTTTGCCCCACAGACTGTAAGATAAAAATTGAAAAGCAGAACAAGACCAGCAGCTCTGACATTGCTATCTCTGCTTATACTGACTGCTTGGGGCTTGGCTTTGTTGCACCAAAACAATTCAAATTTTCCTTTATTCTTAGAAGCTGACAGAAGAACACATGCTAAAAACAAATGGGGTTCAGGCACTCTACCAGCATTAAGATACATTAGACTGTGAAGAAAACTCTAGTCAAGGAGACAATGGCCAGGGCCAGCCTGGCATGACAGCACAGTGCCTGGCCTCTGTGCTTGTCCCCTGGGCCACAGTGCCTACACAGAGAGCAGCAGAGCTGCATGCAAGCACGAGATGTGCACCATGCACTCCTACTGACTGTGCCAGGATATCTCAACATAGGACCTTTGATCTAAGCACAGTCATGCCAAGTAGGGAAGAGATGGGCAGGAGAGGACTTCAGGCTACCCATCCTTGTACACCACTGCCTGCTGGTCAGCAGCACTGTGACTTTGCTGTCATAGCCTGGGTGGTGCAGCCGAGTACCTTTCTTGCTTTGCTGTAGGGCCTCCTATGGGAGGTGGAGAGAGCCTGGTGACTTTGAGCTATGGGCTCTGCTCCCAACTGGGGAGTCACAGAGGTAGAGGGCCTTTCATCCTGGCCACGACCTTCCTTGTTTTGAGACAAAGGAACTGGATATTGTCTGTTAGTGAATGAAGGAATGAACAAATACATGATAAGAAAGGAGGCTGAAGAAAAGAGCTCAACTTCCCTTTGCTTCTTATTCAGAGGGATGGAGTATCAGTATTCTGTAAAGTGAAGGTTGTGTCCAAGAACAGACATGGCCAAGTCTGTCCCAGGCCAGCATGTGCTGCCACCTCACAGCCTCCACACAGATTAACCTCTGAGGACAGTAACATGAATTGCCCAATCTGAAAAAGGCATCAGAAGAGCTGAGCACACACAGAGGCTGAGGCCTTGAGGTGGTCACAGTGAAGCTCAGCCCTCACAGAGCCAGCCCCATATAGCAGAGCCTTCTCTACTTCCTCTGAAAATGAAAACTGGCAGGTTTGTAGTGTTCTGGGTAGGAGGGAGACATGCAGCAGGTCCCAAGTGATACGAACCACAGAATGCTAACACAGGAGAGAACACACTTTTCCAACTTGGGCTTCAGCACTGCGAGTCTGAGAGAGAAGCTTTTCCTGGTTGCACAGAAATCAAACAGATGCAGGAGTGAGGCAAAAAAGAAACCAAGGAAGAGCAAAGCTATGGTGGTCCATAGCTATAGCACCCATGTCTGCCCTAACCCAGCCATAGCAAGCTGTCCTAAGGGGCTTCCGCAGAGTCCAAGACCAGGCCTTAGTGACCAAGGACCTCTGACAGAGATGAAAGGTTCTCTGCTCAGTGCTAACATCAGGCACAGAGGTGACCTGCTGACCCAGCCAGGTCAAAGGAGGAAAGTCAGCCCAAGGCAGGGAAATCACAAAGCACCAGTGACAGCACGGGGTGGGGGCAGCCCCCACGAGGACAACAGATGGGGAAGAAGCTATGCTGGGATGTGGCTGGGCTCAGGCTCAGCCTCAGGGGAACAACAAGTCCCAAACCACTAGAGGCAGGAAGGGATCCCTCAGGCATCCCTGACTGTCTTACCTGGTCACGTCTGGGGTGGTGGTTGGGTGCACGTGCTTCATGATGGTTTGGATCCAATTTCGCCGGATTCCGGATGTCATGGCTGACAGGGTGAACTCACCCTCCTTTGTCTACACAAAAGACATAGAGATGTCATAAGTAACCAGATCTAGGGGTGCTTGTTGCTGCCCATCTCCCGTGGAGATCATTGCACTGTGCATAGAAAAAGTGCCACAGAGAGAAAGAGTCTGCTAAAGAGAACTGTGTGTGCTGTATTCAGGTCACTTGAAGTTGGACACACTCACAAGGGAATGGTAAACTGGCATCTCCTTCCAAGTGGTCAGCACATGCTTAGTCCGGTCCTATAATGCACCAGATGAGGATGACACATCCATCTCTTTAGGGTATGGCTTGTCCAAACAGAAGGACAGAACCCTCCTTGAAGATGGGTGAGACGTCTGGGGAGGTAGGGCAATGTGAACCCAGGCTGGCGTACTGCAACCACACACCCAGGAACACTCCAAGGGGAAGGGGGTGTCCTAGTCAGAAAATCCAGAGACGCCTACAGGATGGCTACCACCTGAGTAAGAACTGAGGTGGTGGGAAAGCAGGTAAAAGGAAGGATGTGTGGGGTGTGTGTGGATAGCTGGGTGCGGTGGGAAGTCTGCTCACAATGGGGAAACTATCCCTACATCACCCAGTGGCTCTGCATGGGAGCCCCTCAGGTGAGGGGCATGACACAGGGTCAGTGGCTTCTGTGTCCAGAGAAGGGTACATTTCAACACAGTGTTGTAAGCCACCAGGGTGCTCACACAGGCACCCACATGCACACCAGCAAAGCAGTAGGTGGAAGGTAAAATTCTGGAGATGGTCTTGGATGGGGACTAGGTGACAAGGGCCACAACACTCTGAGTCCCTGTGTAGGCTGAGCCTGCCATGAAGCACAGGTCAGATTTGACTCTTCCTCCACTGCAAGCTACTACTTGGGCAGTGCCAACATTCCTCCTTGGCCAGCTCTTTCTATACCTAGATATGATACTTTTCAGAGTCTGGCCTCAGCACTTCACTTCATATCTCCAGCTGAGCTCTTTCCCACTCAGGGCCACACGTGCCTGTCATGGATTCTCAAACTCACCACCAGCCAGAGTTCCAGAGGACCCACCTCCCTGGAAAGTTGGCCCCGGCCAGCCCCTTCTCACCTTCCTCTTCTCCCAGTACTATGCAGCCTCTCCTTCCTTCCCTACCCACCATCACCAAGATGCCTGTCTGGTCTCCCTTCCGGCGCCCTGACATCCCGCCTGACATGTTTTACTAATGCACCAATGCCCGGGTCTCCAATGGCCAGGCATTCACAGCTCTCATGGTGCTGCCCGATCTGCCTACTAGACTTCCTCTTCTGTTCCACCAGATCCAGGACTGTGCTTGGGCTCCAGCCTCTGGAAGCTCAGGGCTGAGCCTTCCTCCAGGGAGTCCACTCATGCTGAAAACAACCTCTCTCAATTTAAGACTTACAGTCCCTGGGGTTCGTAGCAGATTGCATCAGAGTAAGCTTACCCCAAGGGTAGAGTGAAAAGTCACTGACAGGTGAAAAGGCTACAACTATCACGGGCCCTCACAACCACAGGGAGGGTAACTGAGATCTCAGATAGAAGGATGCCCTGACTAGAGACACCTGAAGATAAAATGGGGCCCTCAGGCTCACTGAGCACTCTATCCCTTCCACAAGGGGCAAGGGACAGCACAGGATGATAAGAACAACCAACTCATGATGGCCCTGGAGCCAGGCCACCAGGGCAGCCTCGACTGTGGCACAGCTTCCCTCACAGAGGTTTTGGGGAGGGAAGCCACGACTAGCTGCCCAGGGTCTGGCACCAGGGTTTTCCTAATATAAACACACTGGCCATTAGGGTATACCTCAGTCTTCTCTAAATTTGGTGGATCTGTCTCTGAACACAGCAACGGTTGAGTTTCTAGGCTCAAAAACTGGTAGGTTAATACATGGTTTTAGTGAGCCCACAAAAGTCCCAGCCTTGAGGGAGAAACCAAGTCCCAGAGACTGCTCAGGGAGGAAGTTCACTATCTGCTATCACTTGGAAGGCTCCTGTGAGAGAAGACAAAGAGGCTTTACCCACCACAGAGGGTCTGGTCTTTGTCTTGGATTTCATGAATGACTGAAGTAACATCATGGTAGGCCTGAAACTCCACCTGATAACTGTTTGCTGACCAGATGGTCTGGTGGAGGGGCCAGCTGCATAAGAAAGACCAAAGATCACTCATGACCTCTGAGGAGTAGTTGAGCCTTGTGAAATCAATGGACATCTGGCTTTGAGATGCTGATCAACCACCAGGACAGTCATTCAATCAAGCATTGCAGTCATGAAGCTTCAGTGAAGACAGGATGCTGTGGCCTTAGCAGGCCTTGGCAGGCTTCCTAGAAATGCTGTGTACTGCTGCACATCAAGGCAAGGAGGTCAAAGCCAGTAGGGTAGAAAGAACTTTCTTGGTCCCAGGTTTTACCTCACACACATCCCTTGCTTTGGCTAGTTTTGACTGGTACCTTACTGCTATACAAAGTAAAAGTAGTGCTTTTCTGAGTTCTGAAGCTGAAGGTTGTTTTTTTTTGTTGTTGTCGTTTTCTTTGGTTTTTTGAGACAGGGTCTTGCTATGTACTTCAGGTTGGCCTTGAACTCACTACGTAGATCAGGCTGGCCTTGAACTCATGGCAATCCTGCTGCCTCAGCTTCCCAAGTGCTGGGATTACAGGCATGTGCCACCATGTCTGGCCTGAAGGAATTTTGGAATCCCCTGAACTTGCAGCTGGTATTAGAAGTGACAGCAAATGTAGCAGTCAGGAGGCTGTGCCCTTAACCCTGGGCCTGGATGGCTCCAGGCAGCCCTAATCACACAACTTTGATGTAATGGCTAACAAGATCCATGTGATCTATCCAATAAAATTACTTTTATGAGGGTAGGGCCATGCTTTGGTCATCTGAGGACCTCAAAAGAGTTTTGAGATTTAAAAAATTAACAAATGCTTTCATTCTCATTCCCTGTATCTATATCCTTCCAACTGATGCAAACTCCAACATTAAAAAAGAAAAGAGCCTTTGGGCCAGGGATTTAGCTCAGTGGTACCACGCCTGCCTCGCAAGCACAAGGTCCTGAGTCCAGTACTAGGGGGAACAAAAAGAAAAAAAAGAAAAGAGCTTTTAGTAACAAAAGCCTTTAAACAGCCTTGAGAAGAACAATGCTGATGTCTTTTTTTTGTTTCTATAACACATTAAAGTTGGAGGTCAAGAGCTGCAGGACAGAGGAGTCAGAGTGCTGACCACACATCAGGTCAGGCCTGTCTAGAGGCACTGATGGGGACACATCAGCTTCTCAGGAACACATCCCTGCTAGTCAGGCCCTTGCCCCACCTCACCCCTGCACTCACGTGTATCTGGAAGCCATAGTTTCTCTGGACTGGATACTCTGTGACATCATAACATGTGGACAAATCAATTTCCCCATCCAAGTCCGCTGCCTGCAAGGAGAAATGAGGGTCTTAGGAGCTTCAGAAAGAGCCAAGGCACTTAGTTGAACATATTTCCATGAATGACTTCTTGTGCTGACCATGTCTTTAACAGCAATAGACCTTGACCCACATCCTACCACTGCAGAATCCAGGGCTCCTCCCCTGCAGCATCCACACCATCATTTTTCCATGTATCTGACCAAAGGTAGTGCATGCTAGCAGTTCCCAGAGGTGCTGATGTCATAATTCCTTTACACTATTAAAAACTGAAGACCCTAAAGAGATTTTGTGTATCTATCGATAACACAGACAGACAACTTCTCCTTTAGTGATTGAGTTCTGGTACTGTGGCGTGACTAGGTTGTTAAATGCATTGGTCGCTAAATAATGAATTGTATATAGTATGTATATTACAATATTGACAATAAACGGTCAAAGGAAACTCCAACTTGATGACTTTGCTTTTATTTGCATAACTCTTACATGCAGTGTTGTAATGTATAACAGAATATAAAACTGCAGTACTGTACTATATAGTACAGTCAACAAAAGTTACAGTATTGTATAAACAAGGTGTACTGTACCAAAAAAAGGACATTGAGGCTCTATAAACAAGACATAAAAAAAAAAAAAAAAAAAAACATGGGTCATAAGTTCAAACAGTACACTTCAGTCCTAAATCCAAACAGTTGTTAAACGGGTAGGTTGTTAAATGAGGAATACCTGCACCACACTAAAATTAAAATTTTAAATACATTTATAAAAATAATATTTTATTTTCAAATTTAAAATACGGCTAAAAATTATTCATAAGAGTGACTTTTATTTTGCAAATTTCTTACAGGTTTAGCTTCAGAGATAACAGCTAAATTAAAGACAAAGTCCTGGGCCAGGGATTTAGCTCAGTGGTTTCACCGCCTGCTGCGAAAGCCCAAGGACCCACATTCAACCCTCGGTACCAAAAGTATCAGGGATCAAACTCAGGACCCTGCACTTACAAGGCAGGCGCGGTGCCACTGAGCTAAATCCCTGGCCCCGTAGCTTAATTTTTTCTTAAAAGCTCAAACAGTATTATTGGCAATGCATTCTGTCAGTTGTTTCATTTTCTTCTTGGTTTACCGTCATGAAAATGTCTGCCAAGTCACCACACTGAATGACCAGTTCATATGTCAGCTGTTCCTTCAAGCACCATGGAAGCAGCAGCTAGTTCAGTGGGCAACTCCAGAGTGGCACAGTGTGTCCACCAGGGTAACCCACAACTTGCCTCCCACACAAATCACGGAATGCTAAAAAGACAGAGCTTCAAAACTTTTCCTGCCTCATCAAAAACCATTCTTTTTGTTTTTTAACATTAAGGATCTTTATTTTTGCTTTTAAATACCATGACTGTCACAGCACAAATAGTGACCAGTAGTACACCATGGCTGCGGCCTATGCCAAGGCACTAGCAGTTGTACCTACCTCTGCTAATACAGCAAACAAAGTCTTGTTATAAACACAATTTTGACCACCACACCTCTCCTGAAAGGGACTCAGACCTTGCTCAGAACTGCTATCTGCACATATCATCAACTACTTTGATCACATTTGCCTTTATTCCTCGATTTCAGATACAACATTACTCTGGCCCTACTTTCCATCAACAGCATCCTTACCTGTCAAACTTGTACAGAGAATTAAATGTACGAACCTGACAATAGATATCTAGCTTCTTTCTAATCTTCTATTACAAAGATCTGGGAACTTTTTCTACATGTGAGGGTGAATCTGAAGGATCCCACAGTATACCAGGGAAATGGCAGAAGACAGATTTGTCAAATTGTTCAACGACAGAGTTTTTAAAATGTTTTGTTTTTTTAAGTAAAAAAGCCCCTTATGGTTGGTCTTCAATCATGGAATCAGGACTATCGAGGAGTCCAAATAACTTCCTCTGTCACATCCCATTCTTGTCCAGAAGACAAGATTTAGTTCAGTTCTTCTAATGACTCAGTTCACCACAAATCTCTCTTTTTTTTTTTTTGTACCGGGGATCGAACTTGGGTCCTTGTGCTTGCACAGCAGGCAGCGAAACCACTGAGCTAAATCCCCAGCCCTACTACAAATCTCTTTGTGGAAAAAAACAGACTCTTAGCCTGAGTATTCAAATTCAATGTTCTTCAAAGAAAAAAATGAAAGCTGCCAAAACCCATGGCACCAAGGTACCTATACAGTACCTCAAAAGAGTCCAGCATCCCAGGTAGGAAATCAGTTGTGAGGCTATCAAAGCTGCTCTAGTTGTACTCACTGTCCCACCAGACCCAGAGTGGAATGCGCAAGTTGGCAACAGGGACACTCTTCCAAATACAGATGAGAACTTTAGTCCAGGAGAGAGCAGTAGCACTTAGCAGCTTCAGGGCCCCAGGTGCCACCTGTTCCCTGTCTCCATTGGACAAGGAAGCCAAGAAACTCACCTCCTCAGCCACGGAGTCTCTGTAGTATCTCAGGGTCTGATCAGACAGGACAAACCAGTGCTTCTTCCACTAAAAGGGCAGGACAAATAAAACAAAACAAAACTCAACTGCTATCAGCATGGTGCTGCTCTAGGCCAGGGTCCTGGGGTCACAGAGCACAGGTAAAGCAGAACAGCTGGACCCATGTGGCAAACAGCACACAGATGACTCTAGTCAGGTGGCAGACAGCCATGCACTCACAACCTCAGGGAGGCTTGCTAAGCTGCGACTCCTCTGTGAAAAGGCAGCAGACAGCTGGGTGGGCCTAGGCTGGGGGCTCTGTGATCCACAGTGACGGGGCTAGTGACCAGTGCTTTGCAGGCCTCCATTCCAGATTGAGGCTGTAGAAAATGGGCCAGGCCCATCACAATGGAAAGGTGGCTGTGGAAATGGCAATGAGAGCACAGCCACTTGGCTGGCTCACCAGATGGGCGTGTTCCAATTGCACCAGCAGGAGCAAACTAACCCTCTAGAGTCTCAAGTCTTCATTGTCAGTAGCAAGGAAGGGAACTTGAGTCTTCAGGCAAGGCCAAGGGCATTTAACAAAGAAGAAAAAGAGAGGATGTTGGCACAAAGACCCAGAACGGAGAAGAGGAGCTTGGCTGGTCCTAGATGGGCTAGGATTCAAGGCTTCCAGGGCACAGACACAATAGGTTTCTCTTTGGTCTTGGGAAGAGGGTGCACGGCACCACAGGATTCCAGCCCTGAACAGTTCTTCCTGCTTGAATCTGATGGCAAGAATGGATCACATTTGCTTCCCCCAGAGCCTGGTGTCACTGCAGCTGAGGTGATCTCTGATATCAATATCTTTCAGCCCTAGGGAACTCTCTACTTGGCTGCTTTGTATGGAAACACAAGCTAGCCCCACAACCAGGGGCCTTCTCTCTCCCTGAGGACTTCAATAAAAGACAACTCCAAGTGAGAGGCTACAGAACGTCCCAGGTTTAAGATGCAGAAGTGTTGCTGGTAACTGGCAGATCTGGCTGGTTCCTTTCCAGGATGTCCACCACAGCAGTAGGGGCTATACAATTGCATAATCATAAAAAGGTAGTGGTCACAGGCACAGTTGTGGTCCATGAATCAAGAGTGTACAGAATGTAGGAGATGGAGCCAGGGCTCACAGATCTCACACCAGGAACAAGACTGGTTCAAATTCATACCTGCTTCCTAGCCCTCAAGGCCAGCAGTTGCACACACTCACCTGGCCATCTTCGTACTGCTTGGTCAGCCAGCCTTTCTTGAAATTCAGCAGGTCAGGCTAAGAAAGAGAAAAGAACAGCTCAGCCCCAATCATGGACAAAGCACATCCAACACAGCTGACATTTTTTCCTAGATGAAGCGTGCACTAGGAAAAGGAGTTCTGCCACTTGCCAGACAAGCTGTACACCCCCTCTTGTCCTCAAAAATGCCACTTACAGGCACTTGCATCCTCAAGGAGATTCCAGGCGAGCATGGAGGGCATGGCTTCATTTGCCATGGGCTGCCTGGCTGCCCTGAGAAATCCCTGCTTCTGCTTGCATGGAGTTAGCCACTGCTTAGCCTGTCTGGGGCAGAGAACTGGCCCAAGTGTAGAGCCTGGTGTATTGTTTGTAAAGGGGAATGGGTGCAGGGATGGCTGAAAGATCACAGAGGCTCTTGCTCAGTCTACAGGAAGATAAAAACCAGTGGCCTGAAAGGCAGAGACCACGTCTGCTGTTGAGAAGAGGCAGCAGCACTGCCCAGACCCTCAGGCCACTCATCCATCAGAAGGAAGTTGTCTCCACTCCTACCAAAGTGGGACAGAAGGCAGGTAGGAAGGACCTAGACCCATTGTCCCCACTCAACATATTCCACCTGTTTCACTGAGACAGCCCTGGTGGGGAGGGGCAGCCTAAGAGAACACAATACTAGGATATCTGCATCCCATCTGGCTGAGGCCCTTACCCACCACACAGAGCCCATCTGAGAAGCTAGGCCCCAGACAGAGCCCAGTCATTTCTGGCCTCAAGACACACTCTGTGCTTTTGTACAGCCATTCTGATCAGAAACTGGCTTTGCCACCTCTTAATATTCCCAAGTCAGTAAGGGAGTTAAGAACATGTGAGAAGTGGTAGGATAACCAACAGAACAGGGTGTTCCAAAAGCTCCTGCTCCATCATGAAGAGACAACGGACCTGCTGTCTGACCTAGGATGACCACCATAGAAGAGAAGTCCTTCAGCAGAGCTCTGCTTTAACTCCCACTTCACATCAGACTGCCTTTCACCATTGTCTGAAGTACTCAACAGAAAGCAATAATGATTGTATACCTAAAAATGTACCAATAAACTTAATGGAAAAAGAAAAAAAAAAAGCAATAATGAGGAATTAGGATGCCCCAGTCCAGATAACCCCCTTAAGAGGGGAAGTCCCTCTTGGGTACATGTGGTCATTGTGTAGGAGGTGTGAGATGAAGGGCTGTTCTCCATTCCTCAGGTCACCCAGCCTCACTGTGGGATCTATAAGTCATAAAGACTCTCAAACTTTGAGCTGCGGTTAGGTCACTGCAGCCATGCACTCCTCAGAGGAACAGTGCAGGTGGATCTCTGCTGGTGTCTTCTGTCTGGGCTTCTGTTGACTGCTGGAGGTGGTGGCTACCAGTCAAGTTAATAGTGAAACTGGTCTGTCTCAGGCATGAGAGATGGGGAGTCAGCCCGGTCTCCTCGGGACACTGGAGACAGAGAACAGAGGAGCTGGGCCACCATGTCAAGGCTGTCCATGCCCAAGCTCTGACCACTCCTTTGGCACCTCAGCCATTGCCACTCCAGGCCCAGTGGGAGGAACTGGACAAGCCCTGCTTTTCCTCTGTAATCCTGAGAATGGGACAAACTCTCAGCACAAGGTGGTTCCTCCCTCCAAAATACCACAAAATCAAACACCTCAAACCAGAAGAGAAGAAGGTCCCTGCTGCAGCACGGACTCTCACTCAGCATACCATGCCATGGCCAAACGAGCCTTCAGAGTGGAGACCTCCAAACAGAGCTCAGGATGGCATGCAGTCCCTGGTTCTGCTCAGCCCAGAAAAGGACAAAACACAGGATCTGCTTCTGATGGACTACAGGCCAGTAGGTGGGGGTACACACGAGGGCCGTGCAGAGGAACGGCTGATAAGGACCCATGGACAGAGACAGACAGTGGCTGAGTGGCTGAAGTAGCAGTGGTGATGGCAGGTCTCCAGAGAACTTGGCTCACGGCCTGGGCTCACCGTCATGGAGGACTCCGTGGACCTCCTGTCCAGTGACTTGGCTCTTCGGTGTGGAGACAAGGGGGAGGTTGAAGCATCCGAGAGAGGAGCTGTGGGGGTTTCACTGATGAAGTCCTATGGCAGAGAGCAGCCGCCAGTCAATATAGCCCAGGGCAGCATGGGCAGGCGAATCAGGTTGTCCGTCCTTCCTTGAGCAGGAAGGGACCTGCCTTGCTCCCAGCCAGGGCCAGTGCTGCCTCAGGCCCCCAGTGCAGGTCTGTGACCACCTAGGTCTTGAGATGCCCTTGTTGTTAGAACACCCTTTTCTTTCAGATGGTTAGTTACCCTTACTCTCCTGGTCCCTCCCTATCCTCCTGCTCCTGGGGTCACAGAAGGTTCTGTGACAGTGAGTAGCAGCTGAAAGTGGGCAGCTCATGAGCAAGAGAGATGCCCAGGAAGGAAGAACTCAGGCACAGCAAGCTACAGAAGAGACAGGTGGGTGCATGCCCAAGAGGAAGAGGACTGCTGGGCTGACGTACTTCATAGACCAAGCAGAGAAATAAAGTTACAGCTGCTGCCCAAAAGTCAGGAAAGAAGAAAGGCATCATGTTCAGCCTTGTGGCCAGGCTGCCTCAGAGAGGAAGAGAACAATCTAGTTATGACATGGGAACTAAAACTCATTCAAGGCCTCTAGAGAAGCATAGAACTCTGAAAGAAAGATGCAGAAGATAGTTGGGCCCAAGAGGCTTAGTAACTGAAGACTGGAGAGTGGAGGCTTGGCAGAATCACATCCCCAGCTTTGGGTGGGTGGGGGGGTGGCAGGAAAGGGATGTGTAAGGTTGTGTGGTACCTGGAGCCCAAGCCACCCAACAGGGGCCTCAGTGATCTAGTCCCAGGAGCTCACCCGCTTCCTGGGGAATGCCCTCTTTTCACTGCGGCCCTGGCGAGTGTCGCTGGATGGTGAGGGCCCGGCCAACAGGTTTGTCTCCATGTGCTCTGCCTTCTCAATGTCCAATGCCTCAAATTTCTCAATTACCTGGGACCTTCTGCAAGAAAAGACACAAAGCTGCTGAGGTGAGAGTGAGTCTCTTCTGTTCCCACAGTGGTTTGGTTTTAAATGGAGTAGGGGCTCCTGTAGCCACCAACCTATGTCAGGCAAACCTGGCTGATTTAATGCCAGCATCCCCTAGCTTCCCTGTTGGGTATGTGGAGCATCACACAGCACTGACTGAGCTTCCTGGGACAAGGCTGGTCAGCCTAAGTCCCATATGTATCCTGTCCATGAGGGCTGAAACAGTTTGAGGCACAGTTCTCCCTGCCATGCCCATACTTGTCCTGCCCCATACTGGAGGCCACACAGGCTGTCATGTTGACCCATGTGGCTATACACAGCTTGTCACCAGCAACCTCTCCCGAGCCACAGACATAATCAGAGAGCAACTACAAGTTTGGAGGAGCTCTGCACCACTGCATCTCCCCACAATCACAATGTAGCCCCCATCCAAATGCACTCAAAATTTAGCAGGCAACAGGCCCATGAATTAACATTGTTTCTGCCAACAATTAAAAGGAATCAAAAACCAAATTAAACAAAAACAAAGCAGGTTGATTCATATGAGAGGGCCGGCGGCTTTGTCAGGTGGTCTACTGCCGACGGAGCTGAGATGGGAGCGAAGCAGGTGGAAGAGGCGCGAACGCCACAGCGACACAGCAGAGGGCGGAGAAGGCAAGACCTGAAAGAAAATAAGGCTGGAAAATGAATAAACAGAAAAGGACTGCTTTTAAAATCAAATAATGGTAAATCAAAATTATTCAAAGAACTGAAGAAGCAAAAACCCAAGGTGATTGTGGAAGAGGGAGAGAAACCATGATTGTCCCATAGTCCTAGAGTCACCACGGTGCGTTAGTCAGGGAGGCCCTCATTCCTGGGGCTGCCCACCCTACCAGGGAGCATGGGATTTGGACTTGGATGTGGCAAAGAGCAGAACCTCTTGCCCAGACCCAAGGCCTGTACACCTAGGCACATCTCAATCCCCTCATGGGAAGGGCTTCACCTGAGTTCTAGATAAGTGGCTGAGAACTGAGGGGAAATAAGTAAAGGGCCCCCACAGCCAGAAGACTAAGACCTAACTAGGTGGAAGGGGAGGAGGGAGTAGCTCAGACCTTGGGGGACCTGAGCCCCAGGAGAGGGGACCTGAGCCCCAGGAGAGAGTACCTGCTAGGCATGGGGCAGCTCTGAGGCACTAGACTCTGCTTTCTCCTCCCCAGCTTCCTCACAAGTGTCTCTTCAGCAAGAGGCTTGTGCTGGGCAAGCCTGATGGCAGCAGCAGGTGAGGGGGGTAGCAGAAGAAGCAGACTGAGAGCAGGGAGCTACAGAAGCTGCTGGGGTCACTGGGCTCTAGGGAAAGCTTTGGTGAGTGCAGGCAAGGCGTCCACCATAGGCAAAGCATGTGATGGGCCATGGCGTACAGTTCCTACTTGCTGTGGGGCCTACAAAGCCCCAAGAAAGCAGTGAGTACTGTGCCGGACCAGAAATGCATGCAATTGTATGCTGCAGAGCTGTGGGGCTCCAGGCAGAAGAGTTAGAGTGGAAAAAGGGAAGGCACTTGCTGCAGCTGCTCTACATGGCCCCACGAAGATGCCTGTGAGACCACAGGCTCAGGTAACCTCTGTCACAGTCACTTGAGTAGGTGGGAAATTACCAATATGGCACTTTTGAAGTATCACAAATGTGACACTAATCACCTCAATTAGGCAGCACCAAGACTAGGTGCCACCCCTGCAGCAACTGGCTTCCCAGGGCATTAACTGTAACATGACGAGGGTGGCAGGTCAGGACCACAGGGGATTCACCCTCCTGTCAGTCACCAGCAGTCTTACAAGGGCTTCCCTGCACTCAGAAGCCAAAGACAAACTCACTGTCCAAGAATCTACTATAAAGGCTTTGGGTGTTTGAAGGGCAGACACATGGGAACCTAAAGCCTGTCATATTCAGACAGGACTGCAGATTGGCTTAGCCGAGGCTTGTCAAGAAACTGACACCTGGTCTTAGCTGCCTGGCTTTAAGGCAGGTCTGTCCTGGTTGCCATTCAGGGGGCTGTGGCTGATTTCCTGCCACTTTGGAGATGGTCTAATTTGCCAAGGGACAAGATCCAATCCAGCACAAGGTGACCTATTTAGGATCCAGTGAGAAGGCCTCAGAGAGTGACAGCAGCCATTCAGAGATCATTAGGGTCAGTGAGGAAAGGATAGTCACAGAGTTAGAAGGCAGAGGAGGGGAGTTCAAGGTGCCATCACCAGCTGAAATCCATGCTCATGGTGGCAGAAAGCATCCAAGAGCAAAGTCCCAGAGACCACATCTATCCTAGGCAAGTAGATAAGAACGAGTATTTCTTTGAGAAGTGGCCAAGCCAAGCAGGTGTGCAGAATGTTAATTCTGTGGTCTGGTGCTCATCTAGGACATGGCTATTCCTGCTCAAAAGCCACCACAACACACAGCCTGCTGCCAGCCAGCACAAAGCCTCCCCTGCCCGTCCTCCCAGCCTCCTCAATCACTAGGAAGACCCTTCACTTGTATGTTTGCTTAAAGGCTTACAAAATGCCATGGGCCTTTGTCCTGGGTCACATCATGGGAGTAGGGACTTTCTACTAACAACTCATTAGGCATCCAGTTTCTGAGTCGTGGTTTTTTTTTTTAATCTACAAAGGATAGTAACACCAGGCACTTTGTTGAGCTACCAATGAAATGTGAGAACATCCAGTGTGTGGACATTCCAATTCCTCTCTTTTGAAGACCAACAACTCGGGAAGCTTTCCTTTTCCTGAAGTTGATCTGAAGGCCCACAGGCTCTTTTGTCTGGGACATTAGGTGGGTGGGATGTCAGCTAACATGGGGTGGGGAAATGGGGCAGGAGATAAGAGATACCTCCTCAGACCTGCCCTGTCCTACAAGGAACTAGAACCCACGCCTCACTCTCTCTCCCCAACAGCACGCCTAACACTGAGCTTTAGGCTGTGCCCAAGTCAGGGAGGACACTGTGGACAATTCCAGAACTTAAGTCTTAATCTCTTTTCTGAACAGAAAAGTTCTTTGGAAACCTAATGAAAACTATGGGTTTTCTCCCAGCACATGTACACATGTACTCCCAAATTACTCTGGAGGAGGGGGTCACAGACCTATAGACATCTATCCACAGACCCCGGTGAGGACCCCTCTGATCCAGGAAAAGCCCCCATTTATAGACATGGGTGGAAACCCCTTGGAGTGGCACTTGGGTATCTGTCCAGGTCTAGGCCTGGGGAAGCCTCAGATGGACATTTCCCCAGTTCCTAGGAAGCATGGGTCAGTACAGCAAGGGAATGGCAGGCAGGTGCCTCCTCCTCTTGGACAGCAGCGAAACCTGGGTCTCTGCCCTTGTCCAGGCTGTCCATACTCTACTGCTCCTCAGAAGCAGGGCTCTACTCTGCCTCCTCATTTCAGCCAAGAGGGCATGTGGTAACGTCACAGGCCTCCTTGGGTTTCCCTGTGGTTCATGGGGAGTATGTTCATGGAGAGGAGCCTATGCTGCCCTTGTAATTCTCAATGCCGTTTATCCATTCTGGGACTGCCAGATAAGGAAGTCCTGTCCCCACCTGCAGTTCTAGCATTATCTAAGAGAACAGAAGTAGGATGAGAAGCACCAGATCCAGCCCTATGTTAAGGCCTGGCAGCTTAAAACCCCTCAGGGACCCTCAAGGTCCCAATCTAGGAGGCAGTGACCACAACAGCATGGGCCTGTGGGTGCTCAGAAATCCTGCATCTGGTTGTCAGGAGCTGTGTTCTTGAGCTAGTCAAGAGCCCATAGGGAGAGGTAACCTGTACAGAAAGCATTTCCCCAACGAAGCTTAGGGAATGTATGTGTATGTGTTTGTGTGTGATGTGTGAGAACATGTGTGCAGCCCTGTGCAGCCACATGACAGTATAGCCCTCTAATTCCTTCCTTACCTCCGCTGGTTGCCAAATAGACGGGCCACCTCTTCCCTGCCAGGGCTCCGGGCCCGAGTCCTACGCTCCAGTCGCCTTCTCTCCACCTGGAAGGCTTCTCGGTGGCTGATCCTGATGGCCTTAGGGACGTCGGCCAGGGCAGCGTACTGCCTGGTGGCTTTAAAGGCAAAAGAGCTCCCCAGTCTCTCTGTCCCCCGCCCCCCTGTGCTGCTGGAGTCCACGATGGCAGAGGGCCGGCTGGCCTCTTCCAGGGAGCTGAGAGAGATGCTGCAGACCATTCGGCTGGGGTCTCGAGGACCTGAGGAGTGAAGGGGATGACCAAACTTCTGGGAGGGTGATTTGGGGTAACTGTACCTGTTGTTTGGGGTGCTAGGGCTAGGAGGGGAGTGTGGCGGAGGCAGCTGCTGCTCCTCAGCCTTCAAGTCCTGCTTGGTCTTTTCCAGTGAGAAGTAGCCACTCTCCACCCGCACTTTGCGGCCACAGTCCATGCGGTCGCTACTCATGGTGCTCTCCTCTGGAAGAGAGAAGGGGAAGGGGAAGAGGAGATCAAACTCAGCCTGCTGCCAGCTATACATGAGAAAGACCACACAAGGTCCCAGAAGGGGCTATCTTGCCATCTTCCATCTCCAATGCCCACTAGAGACTGCTCAAGGGTAGAGTTGGAAGGAAAGAACCATGGGATAGAAATGAACCATTCTCTTTGCACTTTTCCCCCCTCATTCACCTCTCCCTGGAATCTAGCCCAGATTGGCAGGTGGGCCCTTTGTGTTTAGTCTGGGGCTGGGCAGGGAGAGCAGGACTGCACCCCACGAGGGAAGACATTCCACCAACTGCTTATCCAATCTAGAGAAGGAAACCAATGGCCAACCACCCTTTCAGGCTCTCAAATTTGGGGTGGAAAGGGGTAGTGGCTTTTGCAGACATGAGATAGAGTGGATAAACTGTAAATGAGATGAGTGTGGTGTGTCAACAAAGAACTCAGACATGTGCCTAGAGCAAGTGTAAAATGCATTCCAGCCTTGACTCAGTGGGCCAGCCCCTACCATGCACTTGTCCTTCATGATTGGGACAAAATATGATCAGGGAAAGCCAGCCTGCTACAGAACCTAGGTTCTGAGACCAGAAAGGCAGAGACAAAAACCCCTGCAACTGCTTAGGCAAGTCCAAGAGCTCAGTGGAGAGGACACAAGGAAATCAGCGGCTTCCTCCTCAGAACTCTCTTCCCTCACTGTAGTTGGGGTCCAGGGCAGGATGGGGACGGTGAGGACAGGAACAAGACTGTCCTAACCATTGCATGTCTCAGGACAGTGTGGGCACTGTGGGCTAATACAGCTATAAGAATAAGGACATGATGCAGAGAAGAGGCCTCCTTACACATAGCCCTTGCTACACAGCCTTTTTTATTCTTCTGACACCTGCCTGGGATTGGCAGAGCAGGTGCTGCTTTGTCCTTTACAGATGAGATTTAAGAGCTAGAAGGGACGAGGCCAAAAACACAGCTGATGCACAAAGAGAAAGTGAGGTCCAGGGCCCACGACAGGGCTCGGTAGGCCCCTGAGTCCATAGTGTTAGCTGCTGTGGGCTGTGATGAGGCCCCATGAGATAGGGCACTGGGGCATGCAGGCAGGCCAGCCAGACACCGCTCACCTTCTTTGCTTTCCAGCCCTGGTTCCCGCAGGGAGCTGGCAGAAGAAGTGTGGCTTTGGCTGGGACTCTGAGCTGGACTCAGGTTGCTCCCATCAGGCTGGTCCTTGGCCCTCATTTCTTCCTGCCAGAGCGTGGACTTGGTGGTGGGGACTTTTTCTGCACTGGGGATGCTGCTGCTGTTGCTGGTGACAGCCACCTTGGCAGGCCCGGGTTCCTGGGGAGATAGTGGTGTCAGTGGGGACGTCTGAACAAACAGCCTGAGCTGGTTAACAGGTCCTGGTTGCCCAGCTATGGGGACAACAGATCAGCTTCAGAGTTTCATAGTCTGGGAAGCCCCAGAAAGGCTCCTATGTACCCAGAACATAGGAGAAACTCTTTCTCAATGGTACAGTGGCCTTCTCACCTTTGGGGCTCTGCAGTGCCTAACCCAAGTGGCTTCAGGCTATTTTGGCAAATGTAGAGAAAAGGCCCCAGGTTTCTGCCAGACCCCTCTCACCAAACACACGAGAGCTCTCTCCATCCATACAACCATGCCCAGAACAGTGGCCTACACATCAAGGATAAAACCAGGGAAGCTGGTACACAGTCTTATCATTCCTAGACTTCTGGGTACTTCAGACACCTACATGTGGTGATAGAACAGGGCTGGGGAGGAGACTATGCCTTGAAGCCTGGCCCACGTCATCTGCAGAGACTCAGTGAATATGAGAGCAAGTTTCCATGGCACCTAAGTCTGGCCAGTCCTGTGGCCTCACCCACCTTCCACCTTTGAACCTAAGAAGCTAAAATGGAATACCCAGACACTATATGAAGAAAAGAGTCATCAATGTAAACCAAACGTTATGGCCTGAATGTTTGTGCCCTTCCTTTCCCCAAATTCCTATGTGGAGATCCTACCCCATCAATTAAGGGCATTAAGAGGTAAGTGATTAGATCATGAGAGTGGAGTGAGTATCAGTGCCCTTACACAAGAGGCCCCAAAGAGCTGCCTCTGCCCTTCTACCATGTGAGAACCAGGAAGTGGGCCCTCACCAGACACCAGATCTCCTGAAGCCTTATCTTAGACTTCACAGTCTCCTGGGCTGTGAGAAAGTAAGTGTTTGTCGTTCAAGCCACCTAGTCTGTGGTATTTTGTTATAGCAGCAAGAATGGACTAAGATAATAAATATCCCACTCAAATTTGCAAAAATATGCACATGCTCACACATGCCTGTGTGCAAATGTTGTCTTACACAAGATAGAACCAAAGGAGTAGTGTGGACAGGAATGGTGTCAATTTCCATTTACCCAGGGTACAGAAGTGGTGCTGTCCCGGAGAGAACCATGTGTAGGGCAGCTACCTAGGAAGGGAGTATAGCTCCTAAGTAGGCAGAGAACTGAACTCTACAAACACACAGCCCTGATGAGGGCCCATGCTATGATTTGGAGCTGGAATATTCCCTAAAGGCTTAAGTTTTGAAGACTTGGTCCCCAACTGGCAGTGCTATGGGGAGGTGGTAGAACCTTTAAGTCGGGCCTAGTTGGAAGAGATGAGTCACAAGAAGTACACCTTTCAAGGAGATATTTTGTTCCTAGACCCCTCTCTTTGCTTCCTGGCTACGATGAGATGAACAGCTTTGCCCTACTACATGCTCTCAGCTGTGATGTTAAGTCTCATCATGGGTTTAGAAACAATGAGACCAGTAGATGATGGGCTGAAATCTCTGAAACTGTAGGCCAAAGGAATCTTTCTTCCTTTAAATTGATTTTCTCAGGTACTGTCATAGTAGTGTAAAGCTAACAAACACAGCAAGGCTGCTCTCCTCACCTGTCTTGCAGAGACAGCTCCAAACCTAGTCCAATCACCTGGCTGGGGAGGGAAGCTGCCAATAGGAGGACTTTGGCCTCTTTCAGAAGTGAAGCATGTCAGCTTACCAACTACAGGGCAGGGATGATACACAAATGCTCACCTCTCCCTCCCATCCTGGTGGTCCAGCCTCATTTTCTAAAACTCCTCTTAGGCTACCTCTGGATTATGTCCCTAATGAGGTCACAGATGATCAGGTAATGTACATGTGTTTGTGTGCAAAAGCATGGACCTAAAACAATCATCAGATTATCTGTTAATAACCAGGTCAGGCACAGAACTATCCAGGCTCACCAAACCTGGCAGGGGGACTGCAAGGATGAGTGGAGGTGGTGCCTTCCTATGTGCATGGCCAGAAGGGGAAGCATGGGGGAGGTCCAAGAATTTCTACCACTATGTGCCCCAGAACAGGAGAAAGGATGGGAAGGGGGAGTAGCCTTGGATGGAGCACCTGCTCCAAAGCTGTTGCCAGATTTGCACGGATCCCAGGCCTCACTGGATGAGATCAAGCCAGGAGGCTCTTCCCCAGGCCCAGAACCTGTATTTGACCATCTACTTGGCTCAGGGTCACTGCTCATTGACTTTTAGGCTTGAGACTGCTTGGAAGAAGTCAGCTTCAGCTTCTTCAAAGTAAGTGATGTAGGGCCGGGGATTTAGCTCAGTGGTTTTACCGCCTGCTGTGCAAGTGGTGCAAGGACCCGAGTTCGATCCCCGGTACCAAAAAAAAAAAAAAAAAAAATAAGTGATGCAGGATTCTCCTTACAGTTTCTGAAGGGCTCCAATGGTATGTGGAGATCAGCCCTAGGGGCACCTTCCCCGCAGCCAGCAAACTACCCTCAGTAGAAGGTGGGGAAGCCCATTCCTGGGCAGACACTTTTTTTCTTCTGAGCAGGTAGATGAGACATCTGGCTGGGCTGAATACAGCCACAGGGACCCTTCCATTCCTACAGTGTAGGAGGCTGCTGGGCTCATGCTGCATAGTCTCAGCCAGGGTCTGAGGAAGGAATAAAGTGCCTGGGTTTTCTGTGTACCATTTCTTGGATGGGCAACACTGCTCACAGCTGTCAGTACCCCAATGAAGTCTGTGCTGTTCATCAGAGAGAAATAAGATATGGGCCCCCCTCTCTCTTAAGGGATATCAGAGAAGGCCCCTCTACTTTCCTGGTATGAAAATGGAGCCAGCGACCCAAAGGGAATGGAAAGATCTGACCTGGAGTGGGGGTAGCAGAGACCTCCAGAGAAAATAAGATTCCTGGGGAAGGAAGAAAATAGGATTCCTGGAACATGTGCACAGGTTGTTGCTGGTGGGCTCACAGACAGGCCAGCTGTTTTATGGGTCTCTGCAAAGGCCAAGAGCCCTGGGGAAAGTGAGGATCCAGCCTACCAGGGCTCCACCTGGCTAACAGACCACTGGTGTCTGCACACCTGACTGAGGACTCCTGTCCTGGTCATATCTATGGTGGGTTAGTGCTTCCCCTTGTCCCAGGCTCTCTCTCTTGGCCATAGGAGGAGCCTGTGTTTCTCAAGCCATGGTTGTGGAGCTCTGCTTAGGGTTGGGCCTGTCTCCTCTCTCTGCCTTAGGTTCTGTTGGGATCCCCTCCCCAGACTACTGTCTGTGGCTTGATCCATAGACCCACCTTCAAGTTGTGAGACTCTCAGCTCTACCTGTATTCTTCCAGAGCAGAGGCTGAGTCTAACTAGACTCAGCAGAGACTGAGGCTTCAGCCCTCCATAGCTTAATCTAAAACTCTCCTCGCCCTACAAATAGCTGTGGAGGAAGAGCCAGGTATAAGATCTCAGGTTCTTTCCTCTATAGGGGGCCAAAGGCTTAAGGCTCACTCCACAGCCCAGCCTGGGCCATATGAATGCTATCAGAATCAGGCTGCCTAAGGTAGGTCTTCCCAGGAACTATGACCCAAATGCAGTCTCCATCTCCTCTACAGAGGACCCATGTCAGCTGGGGGAGATGGCCTCTGATTAAAGTTCACAGTTTTGGAAACCAATGGCCTCAAATAGGATATTTCTGGGATCAAGAGGCAGAAGAGGAGTGTCTCTACCAGACCAGTTTAGGAGAGGACTTAGAAGAGGAGGCTGGGGTGGTCCAGGTCCTAGGCCCTATACCTACCTGCCCAGAAATGCCATCCAGTATAAAAGACAATGCCCTCAGGCAAAGGGGTGACCTTCCTCTCTACCCTGGGATCATATGGCTTCTATCAACCAAAAAGGTAGAGCCTGACCTTGGGTAGCAGCACTTGAGGGTATGGGGTAAGGTGAGGGGATACAACCAAAAACCCTGGCCTGGCCCAGAGCATTTCCTGCAAATGAAGTTACCTTACTTGGAGGCAGCTCTGCACTGAACTGTTTCCAAGGCATCACCATGGAAACGTGGAATAACCCCAAACACTGTTCTTCTACCTACGATTTTTTTTTCTCAGAACAGCCAGCTTTGGAAGATTTGTTTTATGAACTGATGTTCCCCAGCAGGAAGATCCATTTTCAGTTTTCAAGAAGTACTTTGGGGCCTGGGGATTTAGCTCAGTGGTGCTGCGCCTGTCTCGCAAGTGCAAGGTCCTGAGTTCGATCCCCAGCACCAACAAAAAAACCCCAAAAACCCCCCAAAACCAAAAGAAGCACTCTGTATTTTTTGCAGACTTCTAATCAGGGACATTTCCTTCTAGGGGATAATGGCTTGGTGATCCTGGGACTCCTTGGGGAAGGACAGGATAAAGGTGGACATCCACTGATGGAGGATAGGCCCAGCCTGTGCTATACTGGCATGCACTTGGTCCTGCCCATTCCTGGCCTTTTCCAAAGCTCCTTGAGGCAAGCAGCCAGTGAGGAATGCCCAGCCCCAGAGACAGCAGGGTTTCACCTTCACCTAGGCCTCTTCAATTTCACCAGGCCTCTCATCTTGGGACACCCATCTCAATCTATTCATTCTCAAGGGGCTAAGAGGCTCAATCCCAACAAAGGAAAAAGCACTTGGTGAGAGTTAAAGCTGGGTACAAAGGGGAAAGGATTAGCATTTACTAAATACTTACAATGGAGCTAATGCTTACTTTAACAATGACAATAGTCCTAGCAACCCATTTTGAGCTAGGTATGGTGGTGTGAACCTGTAATCCCAGCACCAGCCAAGCAATTTAGAGACTAAGAGAGACCCTTTCTTGAAAAAAAAAAAAGCCCCCTTTGCCAGGCTCAAGACTGCAGCCTCATTTCCCCAGGCCTAGGCCTGAAGGGACTCTCAAAGCCCCTCACTACACAAGGGCACCTTAGTTCTCGTTCTCTCTCTCCCTCTCTAGCTGTGGCATCAGAGGAGTGCGTGCAGTAGCAATCCCTTCTCCCACTCTTCCTTCCCCAGAGGCCCACAGGATGGTCAGAGGACACACTCAGAGAGGACAGAGTGGATTGTGATCACCAGAGTGGGGAGGAAGGAGGGGGGCAGGCAGGGTATGACTGCCTTAGCCCTGGCCTGACCTCTTCTCAACTCCCTAGCCTCCAGACACCTTCACTTCTTACCACATCTCCACAGAAGGGATGCCACCTGGCAAGCCTACCTGTGGGGTGGGTGGCTCCACTTTCCGTTTCTTCTTTTGGTTCTGCTTGTTAGTCCTGGGATAGACCATGAGCATCTCCAGCCACCTGGGGAGAGGAGAGGAGACAGAGTACCAGGTAAGACCCTGGCTCTCAGGAACCATAACCCTACTCTTGCTGGGGTGGCCCACGCCCTAGGACCTACACTTCCTGCTTAAAGATACCCATCCATTGGCCAGGCCTCTAGGCACTGAGCAGGGCAGGGCATCACTGCAAGTTGAGAGACACCACAGCTGGGCCAGAACATGCTCACCAAACAGGGTAGGAGAAGTACAGGCTCTGCCAGGACCAGACCCAGACAAGGATCCCTCCATGGCATGGCAGGGTCAGGGCATAATGCAGGCTCCACTATGGCAAAGAGGTAGGCCTGACCATAGGGCTGGGGTCACAAGGGCACATCACTCTCTCATTACTGGACCTGTCTGCTGGGCTTCAACTTGGCTCTAAAACTGCCCACACAGAATACATCTGCAAGTACTCAGGCAGTGACTGGGAGCTATTTAGGATTGGTGAAGCAGATGCTGATCCCAAGGAGGAAAGCAGGAATCATTCCAGCAAAGTTCCCTATGGTGGGTCACCTCAGAGGTGAGCAGCTGACCTTCCAGACTACCTCCTGAACAGGGAGGGGGCCAAGTACTCTGGCTTTAGGGAAAGTCAGACAAAGCAGCTGAGGACCCCCACCAAGGCTCATGTGCTGAAGGGTATCCCTGAACCAGGATTGGGGAACTCACAAGGGGGCGTGGAAAGAGAGGGGGCTGCAGGTAGGAGTCTGGGACCCCAGCTTTCACTCTGCTACTATCTGATCACAGCCTTGGGTGCTTCCAGCCTTTCTTGAGGTTTATTGGGGGGTGGGGGGGCACTACTGGGGATCGAACTCAGGACTTCCTGCTTGGGAGGCAGGCGGCAGAACCACTATGCTAAATCCCCAGGCCTGTTTGTTTCATTTTTGAAACCAGGTGCTAGATCAGGTTATGGCACAAACACTCCTCCTACCGTGAAGAATTTTACAAGGACTAAGTGAATGAAAATCAGATCCCTTGCTGAAGCTTTGTACCAGTCCAGGGGAAGAGGGGTGGAAGGTACAGAGGGCAAGAAGGGAAAGACAACTTCAGTCTTCTCTCAACAGTTTAAGAAATCTTAGGACACACTGGCCTAGACCTTCCCACAGCACTAGGGTCAGTGTTGGTCCAAACCCTGTGTGGTAGTGGTGATGGTTGCACTGCTGCATCCTGGCTGGAGGCTACACTGACCCTGTACCCAGCAGCACTCCTGGGGCAGGAGAGGGGATCCCAGAGTACTTCTTTAATTGTGTGCTGCAGGAAGGGAAGGAGGGTGGGTTAGAGTTAAGAGGTTTTCTGGGACAGCCTTAGGATTGCTGTGCAGCTGACAGCTGATGATAGCTGGGGAAGCCAGGCTTGGTGCTAGGAAGAACAGTGACTGAGTCAAGAGCTACCCTCACCTCAGCTTAGCCTATAGCCCTTTGACTTGCCAAGAGCATAGAAAAAGGCCAGAGAGATAGGTCCTGAGGTCACTTCTTTGTGGCCCCTAAACAAGAGAGTACAACTGTACTTTCAAGGCCAGTAAAGAGGTAGACTTCCCCAGGGCCCTGAACCCTCTCTTCCTGCTCATTCCTCTTGTCTGCCACAGGGGCTGACATTGCCCCAGAGCACTCTGAGGACACTTATGTCTGTAGAAAGCTACTCCTACACCTTCATCAGACTCCCAGGTCAAGGTTACCATGCTTTCATAGGGCATGAAAGTATGCCACTCCCCAAGTATGTAGGGAGCATGGTGGGATTGCAAAACCTTTTAGATGCCCTAAGCCTTGCAGGTACCTCCATCTGGCAACACTGAGGAGCTGTGTGGGACGGCCCTTGAGGGAAGTCTGAAGGCTGGTCAGGCTACATACTGACTGAACACTTCACAGAGCTGCTGAGTTTTCCTGGCCGGGCTCAGCACCTCAGGAGCTTAGGAGGTAGTCTAGGAAGTCCCTGGGTTGTGTACCAGGCATCTCATCATTGCCCAGTCATGATATGAAGCTGGAATTACAGATGGCAGATCAGGGACAGACGATGGAATGTGTCTTCTGCACTTGGGATTTCTCATGGAAGCCCAATATATTGGAAGTATCTAACATTATCCAGATGTGTTTCAAATGTTAACAAACCCAGTGAAGAGAGGAAAGCGTTGAGTATGGACATGGGATTGGTGGGTGCCAGGGCTCCCCAACTCCATAATGGAGAGCAGTTGGTGCTGACAGCATTGTAGAGGGAAGTGCATGAGAAAGCAGGCCAATACTGCTGAGAAAAGGAGAGAAAAGGAATGGCTGGGGCTGGGGGTGGGGCTCAGGACAGGGCAAGGACCCTGGCCTGACTGTTGAAGGACTGATCAAATGCTAAACATCACCCTCTAACTATATGGCATGTCACTAACCCAGATTCAGACACCCCACTGACCTGGGGACCTGAGACTCTTTTCTCCCATACCCTCCCTGGGTCCCAGGATGAGAAGGTAAGCTTAGCCAAGGGATCCATTAGAGCTGGTGTGTCTGGCTAGGCTAGGCCAGGCAGCAGAGAGGTGTGAGCCAGAAATGCAGATGCCCACTCATACCTGGACACTGTCCTTGGCAGCTCCCCTGCTTCGTGGCCCTCAGGCTTCTCAATGCAGAGTGAGGGTTCTTTAGAAGCCCTAGTTAGTCTTAAATCTCATGGTTCTAGATTAAGTGTAGGGAGAGACACAAAGTGCTCCCTCCCTCAGCTTGTCCTCAGGAGCTTAAAAAAAATGCAAACTCACCCAGCAGAGGGTGCCCTTGTCCCCACCTCTGGCCTTCTCTCAGTCTGGGCCAGGGTGTCGCTGAGACGATAAAGCAAAGTGGTGCTTCAAGGAACATCCTTGTGGCTCAACCAAAGAACTTTGTATCCCCAATTTCCTCTACCCTGCCCTGCAGCTGTCAGTCAGTTCTCATCAACTCCCCAGTCCTGCTTTCTTCCACAGCTTCCTCAGATGGTGACTTGCCTGCTTTGAGCCTTAAAATTTGAGTGGGGTTGTCCAAGATCCACTCCTTGAGCTCCCAGTCAGGCCTGCTGAGTCTCCCTACTATCTACACAGACCATATACAGCTTTCTACCATGGCCCTGGAAGCAGGGTGTGGGTAGTAAATGTCCTATTGTTGGACCATGAGCTCCCGGAAACTCAGGAAAATGGAGCTCCCCTGTGACCGTTGTCTATGTTAAAACCTGGGCCTACCCTTCATCTGGCAGGCCTTCTCCTAAAACTCTGCAGAGGAGTGGCGTGAGCAAAAGGGTTGCCCATTCTTCCCATTTAAAGAAGCCAGATTCTGCAGTGGCAGAGGTGCAGCTCATATGTGAGGCACTGGGCATATGGCTGAGACATGCCTCCACTCTTTAGCGCCACCCTTGAGGAAGATGCTCATGTATGTGACCTGGAGCTGGATGATGGAGCCCTATGACTCATGGGACATGCTCTACAGGCTGACATGCAAACTGACTCTGGACAGCCTAGAGGAAAGAGGGGTTATTCTGTACTGAGAGGAGTGCATGAGCAACACTACCAGCTCAGCCCTAAGGGAGATATGGCAGTGGGGTGCATTGCAGAGTAGAGGTGGGCTGCAAAAGGGGCTTGAAGCCACCAAGCAACACAGATCTGATCGTAGGGTGATGGTGTGGGCAGAAGGGAGTGAGGTCAGGTATACTTTGGGGACTGCCCTTCCTCATGGCCAAGAGACAGGTGAGTTGGAGTGTGCTCAGAATAGAGGTGGGAAAGCTAGGAAGAGACCTGAAGAAGGTATGGTAGCCCTGGAAGGAGGCTGGGTTTTCAGGATGAAGCATAGCAATACAGGCTGGTGGGCAGGTATGTGGCAGCACTAAGAAAGGGAGGATACTCAGAGAAAGAGCCACCTGTGAAGAGAGGCAGTGATGATGTGGCTGAATCAGCACACAGGGCCCGCTGGGAGGCAGGTGGGTGGGCAGCACCTTCTCTCACGGCACTGAGCACTCACCCACTGATGATCTCTTTAGTTTCTGCCCTGATGAAATGCTCCTTCTCAGGTGTCAGAATGCACAGGGAGAATTTCTGGCCAGTGCGGCCCTCTCCATCCACCACATCTGAGCACTGGTTCATGTTGATGGTACCCTGTGGGAGGGTTGTAGGCTGCAAAAACAAGATGGGCAGTCATTGAGACAGCAGAAAGGTGTCAGAATAAGGTGGTAGTAGTAGGTCCACAAGCCCTAGTCGTGCCCAAGCCTTTCCCCACCATGCCCTTGCAGCTCCACTTTCCACCCCTCCCCCAGGGAAGACTAGGGAAGGCCAGGTTCCTCAGAGAACACTAACTGGACTTCACTTCCTCCTTGGAAAACAATATCCCAGCCTCCACCAGAGGAAGAGGCAGGGGGTGACAGGAAGAGGACAATTCAGTGAGAACAGCTGGGGAGACAGGCTGCCAAGATCTTGGTCCCAGAGGGGTTGCTGATCCAAGAGAGCATTGAGAAAAAGCTCTAGGAGGTGATTCAAAATAGCAAGGTTATTATTATTTTTTCCAGCACTGGGGATCGAACTCAGGACCTTGTGCTTGCAAGGCAGGTGTGGCGCCACTGAGCTAAACCCCTGGCCCAGCAAGGCTATTTTGAGAAGTGGGAAAATTGGGGCCACATCTTTGACCCCCAACTATGGGGCTAGGGACAAGATCCAGGCACCCTGCAAGGAGTGGCCCACCTGTGACTGCCCAGGGCCTGCACAGCTCTGCAAAGGTTCCTGGGCCAGCTCTGGCTCAACAAGTAGTATTTTTTAAAAACAAACACACATAGCAAAAGCTGTTAGACACTGAAATTAGGGGCAGAAAACCAAACAGAAAATGAAGACTTTAAGAAATTCACACAAGTGATGAGCTAGACAAGAGGACCTTTCCAAAGGTGATCCATCAACCCTTGTATCCCCTGACCTCACAATCCCCCAAATACTGATGCTTTGAGAAGGCAGACAACAGGGCACAGTGGCTCCCATATGCCAGGAGCCGAGAGATGTATCCTTGATGCCCTCTGCACTGCTGGTTCCCACAGAGAAGTGCAGCTCACAGGCTCTGGGCCCTGGAGCTACAGGAGGGTAGATTATGGCTCCATCCTCCTCTGGGACAGCCACCAGCTTCTCTACAAAGCTACCAGAGAGCCTCGGTCCCATTCCTGGAGAAGCAGCAAATGCCTGCAGCTTCAGCTTGGAAAGAGGCAAATGGCAACATTTGGGGCAATCTGTAACTGCCTCCTCCTACAGCTTCAGTGCTGCCAGCTTCCCACTGACCATTGTGGGAGGGCCTGGTCTGAAAGCACCAATGCTCAGATCAACATTGGCCCCAGCACCCTTGTCTACCAAATACCCAGGTTAGGAGTGACCTCCTCAGATCCTTACAGCTAGGGTGCTTGTGATCTTCCTGCTATTGCCACCAGGCTAACCTTCAAGTTCCTCTGACATGCAGGCCACTTTCCTCTGCAGCCCTGATTTCCCTGTGCAGGAGCAGACCGGAAGGCCAGAGTGAGATTACAGAGCCCTTGGCATACATGGTCCCCATTGACTTTCTTTCCCATGGCTGGGAGATGAGCCTCCCAACTTCAAGAAGCCCTTGATTGTAGGGCCTCTGAGATCAGTTAAGCTCTATGCCACCAGCTCCATATGTAGGTAGCCTGGTAAAGACTACGCTCACGGGATGTCTCTGGCTTTGGATGGGAAACATCATGTACTCTATGCTGTGGAGTGTTTACCATGTGGCCTGCCAGAGGACTACCAGGAGGACTCATGAAGGCCCAGCCCAGCACTAACAGGGCCACAGCCTGCAGGTGCCTCTCCAGATACTCATGGCGGGTGCCAGCAAAGGGAGCCAGGTGGGACTGTCTTGGAGCCAAGCCAAGTGAGCTGTGGGCAAAGGTGGTAGCTTCCAACGCCATCTTGCCTGGATCCAAGTACCTTCTGGCTGGGGAGGATCAGGCCCAAGATCCAAGCCTTTCCCACATCCTCCCTCCAGTTCAAGGCCCTTTTTCTAGGCTTTGGAAGTCCTCATTCCTGGGCCTTCTCTGGCATGTCCTCTGAATTACCTTTGGGTTCACTGCCCTCTCAGAGATGGACTCTCCAAGGCCCCAACAAGGCACAACACTGCTCTGAGAGAGAAAAAGAAAGAAACAAACAAACAAATATTGGGGCTCACTATGAGGACTGAATGATCACAAAGGGAAGGAACTGCAGAAAGACCTTTTCAGGGTGCCTCCTCTTCCCTGATCCTGGATTCCCAACCTAACCCTTGTGTCTAGTGGTCTAAACTGAAGACAGCATACGCCCTTCGTAAGTCACAGATCAGAACCATGGTACCAGCAGGTTATAAAACGTAACATATATTACATATCCAAAGTTAAATGGAAATGATGAACATATCAACTGAAATTCTGATATTTTTGTCTCAAGAGATCTCCCACTGGGCCCACACTGAAACAACTATTCCAGGGTATGGTGTCACCAAACCAACTGTTCGTCTTTCCCACTTATACAGTAATTGTTTCTGCTGGGTATTCAGCCACCAGCGAAAGACCCTGTCTTGCAGCTGGACACAGTCCTGGATCTCAGTCTCACCAAATGAATGTGAAGTAATGTCTACAATCTCGCTGCCTCTCTGAGTCTCAGTTTCCTCAGGAAAGAAATGAGTCCTTCCACAAAGGACTTCAGAAGATTTAAAGAGAAGGCAAAAACATAAACTAGGCCAGGACTGAGAGAAATTAGTATTCATTTACAACAGATGTGCCAGGCTTTCACAACTGCAATTTTTTCTATCGCCCCTTCAGAATTATCCACAGTGAGGCAGACATTACCTGATCAATCTTATTGTATACACAGAAAAGAAGGCAAATGGGATGGATATATGTCACAGAAGAGAAAAAGCCCTGACTCTGGAACCCAATCCACTCATGGAGCTTCCACTGAAGTGGGAAGAAAATCCTTGCTCCAAAATTAGATGATCTCATTCTTAGTTAACCCCGGTATTAACTTTGTTTTTTTGGTACCAGGGATCGAACTCAGGACCTTGCACTTTTGAGGTAGATGGCAGCACCACTGAGATAAATCCCTGGCCCTTTAACTTTTCAATAACTGCTTTATTGAGATATAATTCACATACCATACAATTTACCTATATACAAAGTACAACTCAAAAGCTTTTAGCATTTTTAGTTATACAATAACCAACTGCAGAACATTCTAATCACCCCTCTAAAAAAACCCAGGACCATCAGCAATCATTTCCCTTTTCCCAAGCACTAGTCTCCTTTCTGCTTCTGATAATTTACCTATTCTGGGTACTTCATACAAATGGAATCACTCAGTACTTGTTTGTGTCTGGCTGCTATCGCAGCCTCCTTTAACACATTTTGAAGGTTCTCCCATGATGCAGCATGCGTCCCCACTTTATCCTTTTCAGGGACGAATAGTAGTCCATTGTGTGGAAGGACCAAAATTTGTTTATCCATTCATCTGCTGAAGGGACACTTGGGTTGTTTCTACTTTGGGGCTGTTGTGAATAATGCTGGTATGAACAGTCACATACAAGTGTCTGCATGAACACATACATGCTTTCATTTCTCTTGGGTGGACACCTAAAAGTAGAGTTGCTGGGTCATATGGGAACTGTACCTTTAACTTTTTGATAAATTGCAAATTTCCCAAAGTGGCTACACTATTTGACATTCCTACCAATAATGTAAGGATCTGGTATAAACCTTTAAAACCTGTATTTATTGTGTAGGGTGTGGTGGGACATGCCTGTAATCCCAGCACTTGGGAGACTGCAGTATAAGGATTGCCGTGAGTTCAAGGCCAGCCTGGGCTACACAGGGAGGTCAAGGCCAGCTTAAACTACATTGTGAGACCTTTTCTCAAACTAACAACAACAAAAAACTGTATTTATGCAAGCTTCCAACCAGGGCTCTTAGAGAGCGGGTCCAGGTACACACTGACAACCTAAGAAAGCACTTCTTAAGCTGGGTATAGTGTGGCAGGCCTGTAATCCCAGCACTTAGGAGGCTGAGGCAGGGTACTGCTGTGAGTTTGAGGCCAGGCTGAGGCTGTGCTACATAGTGAATTCGATGCAAGAGAACCTGCAAGAACCTGTCCCCTCCAAAAAAAGCCATCTCTTTCCATGTTTCAATACTGCCACCCAGAAGAGCAAGCAGCAGTACTACAGTAGGTCAGTGGCAATGCCACTTACCCTGCATCCCACCCTGCCCCATGCCCCACACCTGTATCCTCTCACTGAACACTTCCAGAACCCTGTGAGGCAGATGTCACCATCATCTCTATCCTACAGACAAGGAAGCAGCCCCCCAAGAAGCTAAGTAACTCATCCAGGGTCATGGTGCTAAGAATTAGCAGCCATGTCAGGATTTGAATTCAGGTCCCTGGCTCTGGAGCTAGACCCTTCTCTACTTAGCACTCCACTTCGTCTCCCACACTCACAAAGCTGGAACACATTCAACGACTTGGCTTCCAGATAATCAATCCATGCTTCCAGTCAGTGCCTCTGCCCTCCCCTGCTGCCTCTGTTTAGGAGAAGGACTCATACATCTGCATTCTCAGTCCTTGGAGGACAGAAGGAAACGTTTCAGCTAGGCCCAAACCTTATGCTCCAAGGACAAGGGCAAGAATCTAGGCTGTAACACAAATCCAGGCAGTGAAAATGGCAGCCCTTGCTGTCAGCAAGAAACCAGCTCCAACAAGCTCCCTGTCCTAGTTCTGTACCTCTAGAGGTTAGGAATCCAGGCCTCTTAATGAGGCCAAGCTTCACCTAGTTTTACCCCCACCCCCCAAAAAAGAAATGGCTGTCACGTGGCTATAGGCTCAGTGCCTGCCCAGTCCTCCATCCATTTGGAGCCTCCAGTCCTCTTCTGGCCCACAGTGCCCAGCAAAGACAGATGAGGTGCTATAGGCTAAAGGCACTTAAGGAGGAAGAGAGCAAACAGGAGGGCACAAGACAAGGGCATCTCTTTAAAGAAGGACACAACCTACTGAAAGCCTAGCTTTCCTACTCATTCTCTGCTGTCAAGCATACAAGAGCCCAGAGCCCCTGTGCACTGCATCCAGGGGATCTGCCAGGACAAGAGCGATCTGCCCGGGTTAGAACAAAC